AGATCAAGGACAGTTTTGTCAAACCAGAAGAACGACAAGAGAAAGAAGAGGATGAAGAAGAGGAAATTGCTGTCGAAGAAGAAGAAGAAAAAGACACACAGGAGCCACATGTCCCAGCTGAAGGCTCTTCAGAGAAAGAGGAATCAGCTCCACCTGAACGCTCCTCAGAAAAGGAGGAATCAGGGGAGAAGAAAACAGACATTCAAGATGATGAGACAGCTCCTGAAGTGAAACCTGCAATTCGACTTTACTATGGTCAAGATATCACTGGAAACGAAGATGATTCAGTTTTTCGAAAATTGAAGGATTGTTTTTCAGATGATTACCATGGTGAATGGGCAGGATTTTACAACAAAGGTTATCCAGCGTCTTCGAAGCATCGACACATGTTTTGGCATGTCAAGTACAGAAAGACCATGTCTCCACATCAAGATTATTGGTACCATCTTACAGATGAACAGTTGATGGTTGAGTACATTGCCAGACACAAGGATCAGAATCCACAACTAGAATTACAAGAACTCAATCAGCGCATTGAATATGGTTGTAGTGATCCTAGGATGCATCCTCTTCATCAAGACAAAGCAGAAAGATCCTCAAAAGAAGCAGAAAAGAGGATTGATGATGATTTCGGAAATCTCACAAGGGTACTCCAAGATTACGTTGAGAACCACAAGGTCTTGCCTTACTGTATGATCTTGCATAGCTTGGCTTACAGGTATTTAGGTGGAGGCCTATCAGACCCAACTTACAAGGATGCCGAATTTCCATACAGATCCTCTCCACAGATAACAGCAATGTTTTGGAATTTGGGAAACTGGTGCAGAAACAGATTTGAAAAATGCCCGGTTCCAGAAAGATTTCAACAATTCATTCCACACATTGACTACACCATCGATGAGGATCATGAAAAATTTGATGAAAACAAATCACAGTTCAACAATCACTTCATCAATGTCATCAAGAACTTTGGAGGACATCTTTTCATGAATTGCGAGGCTGGTTCATTGTATCCTCACAGAGAAAGACTCAACGAGGTTGACTTGAAAACTTGCTTCAATGACTATCATGACTTGATGGTGGCAGCTCGCCTTGGAAAGGATGGCTATATCAAGCAAATTGCTGGATATCACACAGATGACAACGACACACGAGTTCGACAAGTCTAATGGGCAATCTTTGAAGTATCTTGGGGAAAGACAAAGAATCGAGATACAGATGAGATTGTTGACTTGACAAGAGCTAGGATGAGAATGACACGTGTGTGCGTTTATCACGTCGGACAGAAGTATGCATCAGACTCTGCGGGGATTGCTGGTGAGTGCTTAGCTGTTATGGCTTTTGAGTGTGCCAGATATCAAGTTGACTTCATCGCAGGTGATGGGAACAAGGCATGCTATTACAGCACACCAAAATCTCCAGGTGTCCCTACATATCAACACAGCCTTATCCAATTCTGGATCAACAGAATGGTAGGTGTTGCAACACAAGCCATGCGCAAGTATTTTGATTCATCTTGCCCTCCAATCAGGGTCAAGCATTTCATTTCTTGCAGTTATCGTGACTTGGATTTTCTTGCAACGCACTTGGATGGCATTACAACAGCAACATACACCGACGAGCTCATGACCAAGACGAATGGTAAAGGTGATTGTTGTATGTTAACAGTTGTTGAGTGGGGTCATTCACGTTTGATGTGTGAGGAACACCCAGAAGACTTTGAGGATGAAGATCACATGAACTATGTGGGTGAATTTTACTTCAAGGTAAATGAAACTTGCTTACATGGTGATCACAACATCTTCATGGTTGCTCCAAATGATCGCGATGCTCATAATCCAATTCTTATCCATCTTGATCCTTCTGATATGTCATGGAATGAACGACATCATTACAAACAGGCCTACAAGAAGAAGCAGTATGCTGATTCAAGAAAGGAAAGACAGAAGGAGAAAAAGAGAAAGGTATATGAAGATCAAGCATCGACGTATCAGGGCAACACAGAGTGGGGTGGATCCTCCTCTTCAGCGTCCAGACCATGGAGATCAAGTGAGTGGCGATGAGTGAGTGTACACTTCTTTAATTGAAGATAACACAGCATGAGAAGCCGTGTGCAGTTTTTCTGTGCGTTCAACTTATTTCACACAAATGGCATATACTCTTTTAGATAGAGATAATGCCACAAGTGTCTGAACTTCAATTTAATGTAAAATAGAGACTCTTGTAAATAGAGATACTATATACATTTATCTCCATGAATCATCCGGCGAGCAGACCACTCCGAATGGAGCGAACTCCAAAAATTTACCAACTTCGATTTCAGTCCATTGTTTGCTTGAATGAGCAACTTTGGAGATCCGCTATTTCCGTTTATTTCGTGATTTGGTCAATTGTTTTTCGTATGACCTGAATTTCTGAATCTTGCGAACCCGAACTTTTCAATTCGAACTTTCCCCGGTAGAGCAAGGCATTTTGCCTATGGAGAGACCGTGCGCGAAGCACCATTGGTCGCTACTGGAAAAATTAGCGAATCCGCTGTTCTTTTTCGACATGTCCTTAGGACATTCGCTGCTTTCACGTGTTTTTCAATTCGAAGTCACTGCGTAACTCCGGTTTCTTTTGCTATTTGCCATTGTGTAGAGAAGTCAGGAAGATACTCTTAATACCAATTGGGTACGGCAAGGCGTAGTGCTCTACTCATTGCTTTTGAATTTGTGCCTGTGTTTTTGTTTCGACCTAATACCTACATAGGTACATGCACGAGTATTGAGCACATTTATATGCGCCCTTCAAGGCTCAAGAGGTATATAGAGTAACCCTGTAGACAAGCACTGACCGGCAACAGGCTGAGAGTAAAAGAGTGCTGTCATTGGGGAAGATGCCTTAGCTGATCTTGAAGTAGACGCTAGGGCCCCTCTTCACCCCCTCCCCCCCCCACCACCACCACCACCATCACCACCACCATCATCATCATCATCATCATCGTCATCATCATCGTCATCGTCCTCGCCATCGTCCTCGTCCTCGTCATCGTCATCATCATCATCATCACCATCACCACCATCATCATCGTCATCATCATCGTCATCATCATCATCATCATCATCGTCATCGTCCTCGCCATCGTCCTCGTCATCGTCATCATCATCATCGTCCTCGTCCTCGTCCTTGTCCTCGTCATCGTCCTCGTCATCGTCATCGTCATCGTCATCATCATCATCATCATCATCACCATCATCGTTAATCAATTACATTTTATCATTATTGGCAATTATTTGCAGTATCACGAAAGCTAGCGTCAGCTCGCTAGAGTCTTCTTGCTTTAGCAAGTATTCCGGGGCTCCCCAAGGACATCACGTGCTTTTTCACGCGAAAGGGCCCCCCCCTGCCCCCTCCCCCATATATATCATTGTTATAGTTATATATCATATATCATATATCATTGTTGCATCCTCGTTGGGACGAACAATGCCGCGACACGATGATGACAGTCCCTCCGCAACTCACCTCTTCCCTTCCTTCTTTCTCCTACCCCGCTAGCTTTCGTCATCCACCCCCGGCCTCAAGTAAATCGATATGATACCATATAAAAACCATATAAATCCATATAGACACCATCTAAATCCATATAAAAATCAATTTAAATCCATATAAATCAATTTAAATCAATATAAAAACATATAAAAACCATATAAAAACCATATAAAAACAATTTGAATCCATATAAACACCATCTAAATCCATATAAAACACACATAAAATCCATATAAAAACCATATAAAAACCATATAAATCCATATAAAAAACATATAAATCCACATAAAAACCCATATAAAAACCATACAAAAACCATATTTAAAAAAAAAAAAAACATATAAAAAAACATAAAATCCATATGAAAAAACATATAAAATCCATATAAAAACCATATAAAAACCATATAAATCCATATAAATCCATATAAACCCATTTTAAAACCATACAAAAACCATATAAAAACCATACAAAAACCATATAAAAACCATATAAAAAACATATAAAATCCATATAAAAACCATATAAACACCATCTAAACCCATATAAAAAAAAAACATATAAATCCATATTTAAAAAAAACATATAAAATCCATATAAAAACCCATTTAAAAACCATATAAATCATATAAAAACCATATAAAGACCATATAAATCCATATAAAAACCATATAAACACCATTTGAAAACCATATAAAAACCATATGAAAACCATATAAAAACCATATAAATCCATATATATATATTAACAAAAAAACATATAAAATCCATATAAACCCATATAAAAACCATTATACTTAAAAAAAATCATATAAAGACCATATAAAACCATATAAAAACCATATAAATCCATATAAAAACCATATGAAAACCATATAAAAACCATATAAATCCATATATATATATATTTAAAGGAAAAAAAACATATAAAACCCATATAAAAACCATATAAAATCCATATATATAAAAAGAAAAACATATAAAATCCATATAAAACCATATAAAAACTATATAAATCCATATAAATACGATTTCAATCCATATAAAACCATATAAACACCATATAAATCCATATAAAAACCATATAAATCCATATAAAAAAAACATATAAAATCCATATAAACCCATATAAAAACCATTATACTTAAACAAAAACATATAAAATCCATATAAACCCATATAAAAACCATTATACTTAAACAAAAACATATAAAATCCATATAAAACCATATAAAAACCATATAAATCCATATAAAAACCATATGAAAACCATATAAAAACCATATAAATCCATATATATATATATTCAAAAAAAAAAACATATAAAATCCATATAAAAACCATATAAAATCTATATAAAAACCATATGAAAACCATATAAAAACCATATAAAACCATATAAAATCCATAAAAACACCATATGTTGTATATCTTAGCACCCATTGGGTTGGTCGGATTCCTGGGAGGCCTTGGATGCGCGTCTGCCTCTACGTCAGCTGCGCTGCAGCGAGTGCCGTGGCGGCGATGTCTTGGCACAGGCGGGCTGGATGTCTCCGTCGTAACGAGATTTCCATGGGAATTTCATGGGACTTATGGGGACTTTATGGGTTATTTCTATGGCAAATTTATGGGTCAGTTAATGGGATTTAATGGGATTTAATGGTGATTTATGGTGATTTAATGGGATTTAAGGAGATTTAATGGGATTTAATGGGATGTTTAACTAAGAACAATAGGGACTTAATGGGATTTAATGAGATTTAATGGGATTTAGCCTCCGCTGTCCTCAAACATGGCTCGCTTGAGAATCCCCGAACCAAATGGAGGTTTAGTTCGCTGGGAAAATCATGGAACTAAATGGCGGGTTTTTTTATTGCTACAGTATTGATTACAAAAAAATATACGGAATTCTAACCTGGTTGGTGGTTTGGAACATGGTTTTTATTTTTCCTAATAGTTGGGATGATGATCCAATCTGACGAACTCCATCATTTTTCAGGGGGGTAGGTATACCATGGTATACCACCAGTAACCAACAACAATACGGACAGACTTGGGATGTAATTGGATAATATCTATCTTTGGATGAATGATCGGGTCAATCCCAACAGCCATTCGCAGCAAAAAAATGCAGGCCGCAGCGTTGGCTCTACGGCACTGCTCTCTGAGTCAACTGGTGCTGGCACATGACCACATCAGTGTGAAGGGCGCTGAGGCGCTGCTTCCATAAATGGGGGTACCCAGCTGGATGGTTTCTGGATTTAGAATATGTTCTGGACAATCTGATTGCATTGGGTGATTTGGGGGTACCCGCATTTTGGGAAACCTCCATATATATATATAATATCTCCAAATATATATATATATGTATATTTGTAATGGAATATACTGAGATAATCTACTGAAACTATGGAATCATGATCTGGGTAAAGTTGATCACGACCTCACTGCGACCTCACTGGAATGGTGGTGAATGTTTTTGGGGGATCCCAGATCACGTGATCTGATGGGATTGCTGAACTGGGATATGATTGGCATATCCTTAGAATATACCCTCTGGTAAACATACAAAAAGCTATGGAAAATCACCATTTTTAATAGGTAAACCATCTATTTCTATGGGCCATTTTCCATGGTTATGTTAAATAACCAGAGGGTAACGTATCTATATATATATTCAATGGATTGGTTTAAGGGAAATTTTACAGGAAAACCCCATATTTAATGGGAAAATCGATGGTTTCCTGTGGATTTTCCCTTAAACCCATCCATTGATATATATGTTTAAAATAACACCTTTATGATATGGTCCAAGCTGGAGCCCAATAGCTAGCTAAGTAGGTTCATTAGGTTTTTAACTGGTAGAATCTGGTAGATATATCTTTAGTTCATGGCATTTTTGAAGCATCTTACATTACCGGCGGTTTTTGTTCCCAATACTAGGACGATGTCAACCGCACATATAGACTAAATCAGACACACAATGAGAGTCAGCTGAAATCTAACTTTAGGTATCCTTCACCAGAATATCAGAAAAATGTCTATAAATGTCGGAAACCCAATAATAAACTATCCCCAAATTTATCATTTTTGATGGGTTGTACATATCATTTTGAACATGTAGGTTTGTTGTTGAGCGATCATATCCCATGACTGGTCAGAAGTCTTTGGTGCAGGAAATTAGATTCAGATATAGCCAAGTAAACCCCCTAGATACAGCAGTTTAGATACAAGAAAACACAAACACATCCTGAGCACTTTTCTACAACATACACCTTGGTATACACAGCGTGGTACTAGCACAATCGCCATTTTTTTGTCAGAGAAAAAACGAATCGTTATAATGATTATATAATGATATATATATATATATACATGATTAAAACATCAAGTCGCAAACTTGAGCCAATAACATCCATCATTTGCAGCGCTATCCTCAGCTATCGCTATCCTCCAATGTCCCAGGCCTTGGCAGAAGCTTTGCAGCAGAACCGGCTGACGGAGTTGGTCCTGGATCACAACCAGCTGAGACCCCGTGGGGCTGAGGCGCGCTGGACGCTTTTAGTCGTTGTGATCCAAGATGAATGGCCTAAAGATATGGAAGCCACTGAATCTTATGGATAATAATGGTGATTAATGATGGTTAATGATGTTGGTTAATGATGTTGGTTAATGATGGTTAATGATGGTTAATGATGGTTAATGATGTTGGTTAATGATGGTTAATGATGGTTAATGATGTTGGTTAATGATGGTTAATGATGGTTAATGATGTTGGTTAATGATGGTTAATGATGTTGGTTAATGGTGATTAATGTCTGGTTGGTGGTGACTGGAACATGGTTTTTATGACTTTCCCATCATATTCGGAATGGAATAATCATCCCAACTGACTTTAACTCCATCATTTTTCAGAGGGGTAGGTATACCACCAACCAGTTTATGTTTATTCATGGTCGAATATTGTCGTAAGAACAGCATGATGTAATCAGACGATATCTTCGATCTTGAGCCATCAACCATTCCCCTGCACCAACAGATAGCAGGCAGATAGCAGGATCACTTCCTGAGTGCCACTGACAAGAACCATTCCCATATGCTCCATGTATGGAATATTTACCAACATGTGCCTTAAAAAAAATCCAATGAAAAAATGGCCAAAGTTGTCACCAACCAGTAATTATTAGCCATAATTAATCATCAACCATCATTAAATCACCAGAAAAATCACCATTAATCACCAGTTGTAAAGTTGAAGTGGAATTTGATCCAGATAGATGATTCAGAGGAGATTTGATCCGTGGTTGTTTTTTGGAAGGATAGTGGATAGCTGGATGGTTTTTATTGCGCCAATGCAAGTAGACATACTTGCGGGACACGATATAAAAGTATCTGCATATATATATATATATACGTATTATAATATATTATATTCATATTTCCAGATCCATACATAGATGCGGCTATCATACAATGTTTTTTTTTGGGTGGCATACTGCCATTGCCAAGGAGATGAATTCTGTCAGATACTTCACCGCCAAGTGGCGGTCACTGGTTGATTGGTTGATTTTCCCAACATGGACACGTGACGTTGCGCAAATCATATCATAGCATACTACATCCATCTATATCCCATGAAACGGGCGTTTGACCCCCTTTTCCGATACATCCGAGTTCATTTTTGGTGCTTCACTACACTTGGGCGCCGCTCAGCCATGCTAAGCCATGCTTAGCCATTTCTGGATCCGAGAAAAGATTAAAATCCATGGTCTGGGGTTGAACATATGTCCAGTGTCACCATGTCATTGCCATCCAATGGCATATATGATAAATCGAATGGGCTAATGGGGATACAGTTAAGATGTTTTATGATGTTTTATGGACATTTCAGTAATATTCATTGTCACCAGTGTTGGATGTGGGATTTCCAGAAAATGGAATCAGACCAGCCATTTTATGGGGATATACAATGTGAGCCCCCCGTTCGATAGCTAAGTTGGTTTATAGCTCCAATAACTATGGTTTATGGTACTTATAACTATAGTTACTGGGGCTTATAAACCAACTTATAACTGGGGGGCCTCACATTGTAGGAGGGATATGTTTTTTTGGGATATGGTTTCCAACACCGATGGCTGTTTGTCAGGGAACCTTACTGTTCAAACCCAATTTTTTCTCGAATTTCTTGTGCATATCCCATTTTTGTACTATGCCATGGCCCCCATGAGATCGCCATGAGTTTTTCTAGGCCTTGGGCAAAGCTTTGAGATGGAACCAGACATTGATTCATTTGGACTTGGCCCACAATTTCATCGGCTACAAGGGCGCAGAGGATCGGAACAAGCTCGGAAAACTTCGCAGGTGGTGAGTTGGGTCTGAAAAGTTCGGGGGAAAGATGGGAAAAACACAGAAAAACCTCTGAATCCATGGGTTCATCATCATTTTCCCATTTTTTCCCTATTAAAAGTAGCATTTTGCAGGAAAAAAAGCCCTTTCAGATCTAGTTTTCGAGGGATCACAGCTGCGATATTTGAAGTCTACAAGCAACCAAAGGTGGTTGGTGGTTTGGAACATTTGGATTATTTTTCCTGGAACATGGCTTTTATGACTTTCCCATCATATTGGGAATGTCATCATCCCATTTGACGAACTCATATTTTTCAGAGGGGTAGGTTGAAACCACCAACCAGTCATTATTAACCATCATTAATCATCATTAACCATCATTAAATCACCATTAATCACCATTAATTGGGGTTGATGTATACTGGCTCCCAATATACACCAATATCCTGGGTCCACTGGCTCGAAAACCCAGCTGTGGATCGAAAAAACATGGCGCATGTTTGGCTCGGAAAATTCATCGCAGATGGCCCCACTTTACAATGATGATGTTATATACAATAATATACAATATAGTATATATATATATAGTGTGTATATATATAGTGTATATATATAGTGTGTATATATATATATATATAGTGTATATATATATTGTATATATATATAGTGTATATATATATTGTATATATATATATAGTGTATATATATATATATAGTGTATATATATAGTGTGTATATATATATAGTGTATATATATAGTGTATATATATAGTGTGTATATATATATATATATATAGTGTGTATATATAGTGTATATATATATAGTGTATATATATAGTGTGTATATATATATAGTGTATATATATATAGTGTATATATATAGTGTATATATATAGTGTATATATATAGTGTGTATATATATAGTGTATATATATAGTGTATATATATAGTGTATATATGGTAACGGATACTCAGTTCCAGTATGTGGCATTTGTTGCATCGCATTGATTCGCGATCTTTCGATCAAACTCGATCGTACCAAATCTGCGGTTGGAATCCAAGTCAGTGATCCAAGATGAATGGCCTAAAGATATGGAAGCCACTGGATCTTGTGGATAATAATGGTGATTAATGATGGTTAATGGTGATTAATGTCTGGTTGGTGGTGACTGGAACATGGCTTTTATGACTTTCCCATCATATTCGGAATGGAATAATCATCCCAACTGACTTTAACTCCATCATTTTTCAGAGGGGTAGGTGGCTCAACCACCAACCAGTTTATGTTCATCCATGGTCGAATATTGTTGTAAGAACAGCATGATGTAATCAGACGATATCTTCGATCTTGAGCCATCAACCATTGCCCTGCACCAACAGATAGCAGGCAGATAGCAGGATCACTTCCTGAGTGCCACTGACAAGAACCATTCCCATATGCTCCATGTATGGAATATTTACCAACATTTGCCTTAAAGATCACCCAAATGTAGGTAAATATACCATACATGGAGCCTATGGGATTAGTCACTAGAATTCAATAATCCTAGATGGCTGGGAAATCTCATAAATGTCGGCATCGTGGAGATTCAAAATACGACTCTCGTAACAGGAAATATGCCTTTCATAGCCATTAATACATATATACTTATACATATTATATATATAGAGATATTACAGATGTATCGCAGGTATTTCCCATATACTCTCCGGTAGTTTAACGTCGCTATGGAAAAACACAATGTTCAAAAAGTAACTCATTATAAATCGTCGAATTTCTCATGAGCCATGGTTTCCAGTTCCCAAACTATTAAATAACCAGAGGGTAAACCATCATAAAACACATTCCAGACTTCCTAAAACTCTAGGATTGAAATTCTCAGCTGCATACTGCTATCACCACCTTTTGTTTGCTCTAAGTTGCTTGGGATATATGAATTTCTCTGACAAAAAATGCAGTCAAACATCGAAATTGATGAAAAATGATGTTTATTCATGTTTGTCAATGTTTATCCTCATTTTGCATGAAAATGCGTGGTGTATCATGGAAGAATCATATATCTTTTAGCCATATATTCCAAAAGTTCACCGAATTTCATAGGTATCTTGAGGTTTTTGTAACTTCATCCCATGAAGTTCGCAGCCCCAGGAGTTCTCCAAGTCTTTGCGATTGAACCACACTCTACAGCGCCTACTGCGACCCGACGCAGACGGTTCGAACCCCTGTTATGATGGTTTATCTTCTGGTGATGGGTCAAGACCTATTATGTTTACATATTTGGGGGAATAACCATTCATTAACCATCTATAACCATCTATTTTTTTGTACCCAAACGGTACCCAAACGGATTAGGTACACAACCATCTATTGCTGGTTAATTAATGGATGTTTATCCCCCTAAAAATGCTATCCCCAATTTGAAAAAATCATCCCTACTGATGGCCCAACTCTTCAAGTTCGTGGCACTCACGGAGATCCATTATACTGATGGCCCGCTGGTAAATTAACATTAGGGTGTGAAAAGAATCAATGTTTTGTGGAAACTAGTCGTCACCTATCTGCTAGGGTCTATATGAATTTGTTGGAGCTTATTTAATTGAACATAGGGATATAGTGGCCATTGGTTTTTGATGGGATATATAAGGGTAAAGCAGGGGATATAATGGGATGATGAAATGATTTATCAATAGTTATGGGAATAGTAATGATCAATATCTGAATATTATGCTCTCCCAATCTCACAACTACAGTAAACACAATAATCTATATATAATCTATATAATGGATATTAATTTTCGGCCCAGGCTTCCCTTCAACAACATCAAAGACAAAGGTGCTGAGGCGGCGGATCATGGCGGTCTTGGCGAGTGAAAAAAAATCCTGGGAATATCATAGGATAATAAAGTTATATGGCATATGTGTGATTGTGGCAACTATAATATAGTTATTAACAGTTAATCATAATATTAGTATAATTAACTATCATCCCTGTTAATATCATGGGATAATGGATAATGAAGTTATAATAATAGTATATAATAGTGGGATAAATAATGATAATATAGCATATAATGATATAATAGCATATAATATAGTGGGAGAACTGTTATTAGTGATTAACTATTGTGAATGTGGGATAAACAATGATGGGATATGTGTGACAATAAAGCACCTATCAATATGGGATTATAATGGGATTATAATGGAATATAATGGAAAAAACACCTGGAATAATGGGATAATAATGGTTATATAATGGTTTAATCCAACATCTATCCTCTGGTAAACTAGCAGTTTGCTGTGGAAAATCACCATTTTTAAGTTCGGTAAATAAACTATAAATGGGCCATGGCTTCAATCGCTATGTTAAATTACCAAAGGGTAACTACCTCAGTGTTCATAGTTTCATGTAGATGGCACAAGGGGGTCCAGCCACCCATTAGTTAATGATTTCATATGGAAAAACCTAGGTTTTTCCCCATGTTTGCAGTTGTTGTTTTGTTGAATCCTCATATTAGTTGACAAAATGCCCAAAATCCTCATGGTTCTGTGGATTTTGCACTTCGATATATCAATCGATTGGTTCAAGGGAAAATCTACAGGAAACCATCGATTTTCCCAAACTCATATTTTTCAGAGGGGTAGGTATACCACCAACAAGCTACACACCCAAACATTGTGGGAATTCCTGCTAGAACCTGGTAGGGTTGTCCCATGATCAGAACCATGTCTTCAGCGACACTTGATCCCTGGAAATCGTCGTATTTCGCCAAGTTACGGACATCGACTGAAAATCTGTGGGAGTTCATGGAAACCGGATGGTGGTTTGGAACGTGGCGTTTATTTTTCCATATATTGGGAATGTCAATGAATGTCATCATCCAACTCCATCATTTTTCAGAGGGGTAGGTATACCACCAACCAGGAAATTACGCATTTTTCCACCCCAACTAAAGCCAGGCCCTGGCTTTAGCCCTGCCCAGCAGCTTGCAGCACTTGGATCTCACCAGCAACGACCTTCGAGAAGCTGCCGCGGAGGTTTTTTCACTCAGCTGAGTTCAACCGTAGCAACCAACTTGGGGACCCCAGTCATAGAAAAGTCTGAACCCTGGAAATGCGTACTAGATATTATTGTCTTTTTGGTGAGGACTAAAATATGATAAGTCTGGTGGTTATAATGTAATATGCTATAGGTACAATATAATAATAGTAATATATATAATATATATATATATAGAGAGTAAGCCCAATTTTCAACAGTATTTCATGAATGAATCCCTTTGGTCATTTCAGAGTTTGCTATGCAAAAGCCTCATGTGGGCCTTTTTGCTACACCTTTTCATCAGGTGGGGAGACCATCTCACCATGACTTCCAGTTCCCCACTGTTTTTTCGACCCAAAAAAGAGACCCAAAAGAGGCCCCAGGTTTGGTATGTTGGGACCATAGAATCAACCCAGAACATCCCCTCATGACTCATGATATCTCATGTTTTTCACCCTCTGGCGTGGATTATGAGCACAAACTGGTGGCTAAGTACAAAGGAGTCATTAGACTTTCCGCGAAATGCAACATCGTTGTATAATCCATAATAATGACCATTATAATCCGAAATCACCATTATTAATCATAGTTTTATAGTCACAACATCCATAATGGTGATCAACATCGTTTTATAGCCAAAACTTGGATTATTTATTCAACATACACTTTAGTAATGATCAACAGTTTGCGAGAAGGTGGCCCGGTGGCCCATTCAAAAATTCCATGATGTACCCTCTGGTAAACTAACATAGCTATTGAACATGGTAATTTATAGTGAGTTTTCCCATGAAAAATTGTGATTTTCCATAGTTTTTTGTATGTTTACCAGAGGTACCGTTTCAAAGATTCTGATGTTCCGTAGCAAATCGTTGAATTACCAGAGCGAAAAAAAAGTAAATGTGTACATCTTATTTGGATCGATGGTGATATACATAGGGGGAATTAGATATTCATGATTTCAATATAGCTAATGGTGATATACATATGATGATATACATCTAAATTTCAATGGTACTATACTATTAGCTATACTTCATGAAATTGATAGCTAATAGTGAATCTCGATGAACAATAATAATAATATCAACGTCACTGTGACGTCACGAAAGCACGAAAGATGATAGTTATGTCTTACATATATATATATATACATGTATATTATTTATTGTAGTATATATACATGTATATTATTTATTGTAGTATATATATATATATATTATGGTATAGTTTATATATTATATGAGGAATCATCCCAAAATGGCCGAACTTTTCAGGTTGCTGATTAAAAAATAGTGTATTTCAGCAAGATAGCCAGATAGCCGTTGATTTTTATGGCAATGTTCACGGGGATCTGATGGTGACAATTTTTCGGGGAGTTTCATTGTCAGATCATTGGATACAAAACGGATATCCTGGGATATATATCTCCGAATATCGTGGATTCCCAGTATAACTGTGTTTTATTTGGGATACCTCCATATGTGGTATGCTGTAGATAATGAATATATATATATATATATATATATGGTGTGTTTGGAAATGTGATATACACCCATGAAATGTTAGAATTTTAATGGAATGTTTTATTATGATGTTTTTAAAGACTTTGCATCTTTTCGGAGGCACACCCTATGATAGGGGGATCTAGTGTTTGAAAACGGGTGGATGGGCCAGCGAAATCCAGTTATCACCAGTTGAAAACGGTGCTAAAGATCCCATTGGTGGTTTGGAACATCGTTTTTTTCCAGATATTGGGAATTTCATCATCCCAACTGACGAACACATATTTTTCAGAGGGGTTGGTTGAAACCACCAGCCAGTAAAGATCCCATTGTTTTTGTTGGGTTGAAAAACCATCCTTTTGGTGATGCAGTGATGCAGGATTTCGCTGGCCCATCCACAGTATCATCACGGGATATAAAAAGCACAGCATGGGAGAAAATAAGATTACCTCATGGGATAAGAGGGATATGTGTAATGTCATCATCCCAACTGACTTTCATATTTTTCAACATGGTTGAAACAGGTTGAAACCACCAACCAGTTATTGTGTGATCAACAATATGAGATGGCTCTGTCCAGCAGTGGGGTGAATCCCCAAAATGCTCCTGTCCTGCAACCAGAGGAACAATGAGGATTATCCTTCGGATTTCAAACGCAAAACATGGGTAGAGTAACCTTTACCAATTGCGAGTTCCTTTGGCCAGCAAAACATGTAGCTGCCATTTTGTGGGAATAAACAAAAACCAAGAAGTTCTAGTTGCTTCAAGTTTGAACTTGGAATGATGTGGTTTCTGAGACAATGATCCCAATTGACTACAGGATATGTTGACTTCTTTGTGCGATTTTTATTGACATTCACCCTGCACACATATTCACAAATTGTATACTCTGATCAGACGTGACAGTGGAAAATCCCTCAATGTATAGCAAATGTTCCCAGCTTGAAACCTTAGTGGTTCCTGGGTCATGTCTCACAGTCTACTTTGGGATTTCCATAAATGGAGGATAGCTGGGTGGTTTATAATGGAAGATTTCATTACCCCCCCCTCCCTTTTAGGAAGCCTTCATTTCATGTCTATGAATTTCTAGTGTCTCGTATGTATTTTCTTGTTATTTCAGAACTCATGCTGGTTGGTGGTTGACCACATTCGGACGGTTTTTCATTGAGTTTACCTGACACCATTTAATTCTATGTGGGTAATGGGATTATAAAATATTATAAATATCGTACATCCTCCCTCATTATTCCAGGAGTCTATGGATTTCTATCCTTACACCTGGCTCAGCTGGGCAAATCACCATGACATCACCCTGAAATCACCATTTTTTGGGTAAAATCCCCATCTCGGGGAAGTTTTTCAGCAGGTGCTAGCTGCGTGTTTAAACCATCACCTTCGGCGGCTGGATCTGGGTATGAACCGCCTTGGTGATGGTGGAGCAGAGGTGGGACATTTGGACATGGCTCTGCGATGTTCTTTTCCGGATTTCATGGGCGGAAAATGGAAAACTGGTTGGTGGTAATGACTGGTTAATCATGGTTAATGATGGTTAATGATGTTGGTTAATGGTGATTAATGTCTGGTTGGTGGTTTGGAACTTGGCTTTTATGACTTTCCATATGTTGGGAATGGAATAATCATCCCAACTGACGACCTCCATCATTTTTCAGAGGGGTTGGTTGAAACCATCAACCAGAAAATGTCTGTGGGGCTTCATAGGATTTCATGAGATTTCATAGGGAAATGTACGGAATTTTCCATGGGAAATATGTGGGACATCTACAGTATGATTTTTGTTCGGATTTCATGGAAGAATTCCGGCAAATATAATGACAAATATGAGTTCTTTTATGGATTGCATGAAAAATTTAATGGTATACAATGAAATATTTGGGATTCAATGAAAGTCCATGGGACATATACATACATATATATGTATATATATATGAGGTAAATGGATAAAGATACAAGGGTATATAAAAATTGCATATCAATGGGGATATAATATGATATAATCCCATCCACCTCGTTGGTGGATGTGGATGGATGGTCCTTGTGAACCTCGGTTTTTGCGGGGGTTCATCATCAAAGATGTGGATAGAAGTGATCAATGATGGTTGGTGATTAAATGGGACTATATTACATGGGAATATATGCTATGATTACTACCATATGGGGATATCATTCATGAATATCTATGATATAGTTGATAAACGATAGTGGGTTGGTGATTCTGGCGGGATTTAGCCATCTAACACGACTTTATCACTACGAGACATGGTGATATAACGGATAAATGGTTGTAAAAACAAGTTTTTGATGTAATGAGAATTTAGCTGATTTAACCATCGTCGTTAGATTCATTAATTTTATTCACAGCAAGTTACTATGGTGCAAGAATTGACCAGTGGTTGAGAATTAGTTCGGGGATTATCCTACCCAAACTATTGGGTGTTATCATCCATGAACTGAAGAAAGGTAATCCTCATTAGCCAACCAATGTGGAATGACACACTTCGGGTTTTGAACACAAAAATGAAGGGGGGGATAAACAGGCATGCTAGAAACGAACTTTGCATATTGGACCAATGACAACATCACCATGTTTCTTGGTAATATCGGTCATGTTTACTCTTGAACATTGGGAGGCGCGGTGGAAATGCTGTGTAAAATGCACTTTGTTTTACAACAAACTTTGCACATTTTGATATTTTGTTGTTCGTTCAGCACTGGTTGATTTGCAGGCAGCCATTTGCTTACCGCACTATACACAGGCCCCATGGACCATGGATATAGCCAGACCCTACAAACCAGTTAGCAACATCAGAATCCATCCCGGCAATCTCAATCCGATTTTGGGTTTATGATTTTACCATATTTAACCCTCGATCTCCGGATTTTGGAAGCTGAAGTCACGATTTGGGGGATGGGATTTTGCAGGGATTATTCATTGTTTACAATCCCTTGTTCCTGGGGGTATTCGAGTTTGCTGTTGGTTGAATTCCCAATTGAGTTTATACTTTATATCTATGTGTATGAATACTTATACTGACAGGACTATATGCAGGTACAGACAGACTGACAGACAGACTTACAGACTTGCAGACTTACTTACACACATGATCATACATGACACCAATGATTACACCGATTGCACCCCTTAAATTTCACATGGGAACCCCCCCCTTTTTTGATTTTCCTCTTGAATTATGGCGAAAATTTGAGTTTCATATTGAATTTATCACTCATATGGACTCATATTAGATATTTAGGTGGTGAATATGATCATTGAAGCTGCAAACATCCAATAGGCCTTGGCCAATGCCTTGCGCGGCAACGAATGCCTGACGCATTTGGACCTCTCGCACAACGATTTGCAGCGCCCAGCTGGTGAGGCAGTGGTGCGTTGCCGAAACAGTTGGAAAAAGTGGGAAACTATGGGGAAAAACATCAGCAAGCTAATCTAAAGCATCCTGGTTTCACTTTTCGAGCTCTTTGTTTGGGGTTATTACGTAGATAATGGATGATAATGGGACTGGATCAGGACCCATTATGCATCATTATACCATATTTGGGGGCGCATGAATAGCAATGGCTGTTTGCGAGCTATTTCGGTGTTCACCAGAGTACAAGGATTTGGAGCCACACCCATATGCCCATTTATATATATATATGGGTAAATTATAACAACCTCACTGCGACCTCACTGGAATCATGGTTAATAAGGGGAATCATCCCAAAATGGCCTTAATTCAGGTTAGTGAATTATTATAATTTACCCATATATATATGTGTGTGTGTAATATGAAGGTTTCCTAAAATGGGATACCCCCAATCATCCAAGTCATGGATGACAATTTGTTAGTATTGAAACCCATGGTTTGAGGGATCCCCCATTTTAAGAAACCCCCAGATTATAGAGAGAGAGAGATTCAAATGTTTGTTTATGTGTTTACTGATGTGTTGCGTGGTTTATTTTCAGTTGGGTTTTGTAGTTGGAATTTTCAATTGTACTGAGCATGTTGAATTCACTTACTACAAACTTGGTAAAGGGACATCCCCATGATTTTGGTACATCTAGCCACCGGGGGGTTCTCGACCAGGGCACGATCCCTGAATTGGAGGATAATGTGTTCCTCAAAGTGAAAACTCAATTTGTGTCTATATTGTAACATCCAAACAACAATCCATACCAATCCCCCATTTTTTTGCTGTTCTTTACCCCAGATCTTGTTGGATTTTGACAACGAACCCCAGATCCAGAGAATCTGTAAAGGCTCTAGCGGATGCCCTGCGGGTCAACACAAGTCTTTCGCATTTGGACCTGGCTCGCAATGAGTTGCGGCAGCGGGGCGCTGAGGCCGTCCACAGCGATGGTGGCCGTGCTGGCTTGATGGTAGAAATCCTTAAGCATTTTTCACACGAATTTTTGACGAAAATAATGTTCTAAATTCTAAAACGTCTTAAAAAAGCATGAAATGTTGGTGGTGTTCCGCTGTTTTTTTCAAAAAAAAATGTCACAGAAAGAACAGTGAGTGGCTGCTAAAGCCCTTGGATGATTAGTTCAGGGGTTCTACCCTTTATTGGGGAATCTGCCAGAGGATCAATCTGGGCGGATTTTTTATGCGCCAAGTCTCGGTGGAAGTCTTTTGAAAGCAACAAAGCCTATGGGGATTTTTGACATACGAAACAGCTAAAGAAAAAACAAGATTGGAAGGTTTATGAGGGTTTATGGTTTGGTGGATGAATTAACTATGGTTTATGGTAGATATAACTTTACAACATTTTACAACTATAGTTAATGAGGCCATTAAAACTGGATCTTAGGTGGATTAACTATGGTTTATGGTAGATATAACGAACTAGTTAATGGGGATGATAATGGTTTATAAACCAACAAGATTAACTGGTTGGTGGTTTGGAACATGTGGATTATTGTTCCCATCATATTGAGAATGCCATCATCCCATTTGACTTTCATATTTTTCAGAGGGGTAGGTATACCACCAACCAGTTAGCCATGTTTAAAACCAAAACAAGTGGAGGATTATGATGGATTATGACTATTCGGTGACGTGTTGGTAACGTGTTTTGGCTGGATTTTTGTGGGTGGCTTCTGCTAAACACGGGGTGCCCCTCGAAAAAAAGAGGGATCGAATCGGATGGATTCGCCGCTGAAACGATTTCCGAATGTGCAAAAAAAGATGAGTGCCATGGTTATTAATAGACTATCATTGGGAATATCCATGGTTAATAATGGTTATTAATGGGAAACAATCAAGAGTCATGGATGAATAGTGTTCAACAAAAAGATGCGGTTCATTCCCCTGTAAAGCGGTACTCTCTGGTAATTTGTTACAGAGCTATTGAAACCAATTCACCCCATAGAAATAGTTGATTTACCTACTATAGCAGTGGTGATTTTCCACTTCGCAAATTGTGACAGTTTACCAGAGGCTAATTCTAATCCTCTGGATCCTTGGGATTTGGGTATATCTCATATGTTTAGTCACCCGTTGCGGAAAAAAATCCGGCTGGCTGAAATCATGGTGAATCTTCCATGTTGGGAAAGCCATCGTTGCATAGTCCAAGGCTCTTGTTGCAAGTTATGATGGTGTATGAAATACCAAAACCATCAGAGGGGTTCACCATGGTTCACCATGGTTCACCATTGTTTGGGAAAACCATCATTTTGGGAAGAAATTATATGAAATACTCTGAGTTGCAAGGAAAATCAGGGACCCTGGACAGGGAACAAGAATCATCTTAAGATTGGATGCGAATCGTGCACCAAAAAAAACATCGAAAATCCCAGAAAATTGTTGATTTTAGCATGACTATCGTATGGAGTCGAGTGTCAATGATTGAAAATCTACAGAAAGGCATGTTCTTTTGAAACTTGGATTTTCTTTCTATGGTATCCACCAATTCTGAGATAAAATTGGCGTGATCCCAATTTTTGTCAAAGTTTTGTCAAAGATCCTCGTTTATAACGCCGTTGCAGGCGTTGATCGGAGCCCTGCATGAGAATCGCACGCTGCGGCATTTGGATCTGGCGGAGAATCGTGTGGGCTTCAAAGTGGCGGAGGCGGGACCCGCCCCTTTTTCGGGTCCGAGTGGAGAGACTCTGTGTGAACGTTGGCAATGCAAAGTTGGGATTGAGTTTTAGTTGATGAGTTGTACGAATGTGAGCGAATATGGGGTTGATCAATGTTTAAAACAACTTTGATGATAGTTACCCTCTGGTAATTTAACATAGCTATTGAAAATGACCATTTATAGTGGATCTTCCCATTGAAAATGGTGATTTTCCATAGTTATGTTAGTTTACCAGAGGGTATATACACATGCCATGTATATTTCAAGGTACTGGGTGTTTGCATGGTGTTGACTAGGGACGGTTGAAAGGAATAAAGATAATTGCTGTCTTTGCATGGTGTCTAAACCTGGGAGGAACAGGGCCCACTTAATGCAATCAGTCCGTATAGCGATACGGGTTTCTGCGAAAATGAAGTATCTCATAATAGTGCTATAGTATAATGGTTAGTAATCGTTAAGTATCATTAGTCATAGTTAAATCCAGTGTAATAATATATATAGTATATATATATATCATTATCTTATTGTATATATCCATTGGTTAGTCATAATTGTCCTTAGAGCAGATCCACCAACACGGCGCCGGTAGTTGGAAAAGGGCTAGAAATGCTATCCCAACTACCTGAGGGGTGCATCCCAGACATGGAAAGTGGATGAAAATAGCATGCGTTATGCTGTGTATCAAAAGCCAATTGTATGTTAAATATCGCCAGGAATATATATATATATAGATATGGCCATGATCTAATATAGGGCTACAATTCCCTTTTGATGAATGCAATGAATGCACATGCAGGTGAAGTTGATGAATGTCAAGCCTTGATTTTGTTGGGCTGCTGATCATGGAGTACCATTAGTAGCAGCTTTTTTAAGCATTTTCTGGCGGTCAACAGAGGGGATAATGGTCCCTCCGAATTTTGGATGACAGTCTCAGAGGTGTTTCCAAGTTATGGGCGCACCGTTTCCCACGTTTTGTGGCTGACCTTGCCATTATGGTTGATGTTGATGTTGGCTATCTCGCCAAGGATATCCATGATGTCCCAACTGGTTCTGAGACAAGAAATGGAGGGTTGGCAGTAATTGGCGCTTGAAGCACGGTACATCCCGACTTTTGATACCCTCTGGTAATGACTAACATAGCTATTGAAAATGACCATTTATAGTGGATTTTCCCATTGAAAATTGTGATTTTCCATAGTTATGTTAGTTTACCAGAGGGTATTCCGTGACTCTTGCTGATCTCCATTTTTATAGCGACGTCATGCCGCATCCCCATAGACTGATAGACCCCTGTATCAACCTCGCCTTGCTCCGCTGGATTCTGTGAGGCTTTGGCAGAGCTTCACAAACTCAATGAGGAGGTAGGCTAAACTGATGGTTGGAGGATTGATCATCTATTCAACATGGATATGTTTCGAATATTTTCGAATGGAATCTCATGGGATTTTCATTCGGAGGGTGATTTAAGTCAAATCGCATTCAGGGATGGCTATGGGTTTGGGTATGGGCTGCCCCAAAAAATATCCAAAAGTTAGATTGTTAATACGGGTTAATACGTGTTAATACGTGTGTTAATACTAAACATACATCAAAATCATTGAAAATCTGTGGTCCCTTCTGCTTTGCTGCCCGGCAAATGCTGCCCCAAATCATCCCAGTCGATGACCATGAATCGAAAGCCACGGTGACTAGGGATCCCATGGAAAGGTGGAGGTTCTCTTAGAGTACGAAGCCCCTTGGCTCCGGTTGGGCTGGTCTAAATAAAAAGGGATGGAATGGATAGGATTCTGGGAATGATCCCTTAAAAGGCCGAACTTTTCAGCTTAGTGAACTATCATACTTTATCCAGATACAGTATATATATATATATATGTATACATATATATACCATGTTATAATCAGTTGATATCATTTATATACCAACTATTCAGGTTAGCAATGAACAGTTGAGCCCTTTTGGTGAAAAAACTCTGGACTAGACTGCATTGAGAATCCTGCCAGAACGGTTTGGGTAGTGCACGTTTCAACTGTTTAATCACCATATCACCATATGGCAGGATCTCTTGGCGGATCCGAAGATGAAAGATCGCAATTGCTGATAGGAACATCATGATAACATCATTTTTTGATTTCTGTGTCCAGATTAGATTGCCAGATACCCCAACAAAGAAATCCAGATGGATATTCCATTATAAACAATCCAGCTATTGGGGTACAGTACCTCGATTTATGAAAACCTCCACATATATTATGGTACCCCATTATGGAACCTCCATATTGTTGAAGAATCCCATCAGCCTAATATTAAACACACATTTATTATCGTCCCAATTATGTGGAAATTCCCTACTAAACCATGGTTTCATTTAGGGAGTGTTTAATATTAGGGGGAAGGGATTAATCATTGCTATTAATGTGGTTAAAACAATGTCATAAACCTTCCCCCAGTAATCACCATAAATATATAGGTGCTATGGTTACCATTCCCAGTCACGGGTGGTTTATGGCATTGTTTCATCCACATTATTCATTAAATCCCATGACTATACCACGCTTAGTCATTTACTATATCATATCCCATTAATATCCCATTCATATACCATTGAAATTCATTGACCATTAGTATACCATTAACATTCCATTAACCATGAGTATACCAGTACTATTCCATTTTTTACCATTGGTACACCATTAAATTAGTATTCCACTAACCATTAGTATACCATCAATGAGGGACAGCATCTATTGAGGCCACCTCCGTAAGTGGCGTTTCCGATGCTGACGACGGCATCGGAAACGCGCCGGTGCGTTGCAAGGTGCCGGGCAGGGTTTGTTGCGATGAAACGGTGGAGTTCACTATTAAAACTGGGATAATAATGGTGATTAATGATGGTTAATGATGGTTAATCATGGATAATAATGGTTAATGATGTTGGTTAATGGTGATTAATGTTTGGTTGGTGGTTTGGAACATTTGGATTATTTTTCCAGATATTGGGAATAATGCTCCCAACTGACTTTCATATTTTTCAGAGAGGTTGAAACCACCAACCAGTATAAAGATATAAATAGATAAAAACAGATCAAGCCCTTAAAATCACAATGTTGAGGTTATAATCATGCACTTACAGTAGCCCTAGTATTCATTATTGGCTTCACTTGTTTTGAATAAACAGATCAATTGCAACAACCTCACATCCCGACGTCACTTGCGTGATGCTTAGGATTTGAGGAATCAGCCCGAAATGGCAGAACTTTTCAGGTCTGTGAACTCTTACAATTTATCCAGATGATTTATGGAGATTTTATGAGATATTCAAACATTTCAAACATTTCAAACATTTCAGGAGATCTCTCCAAGAGATCCCGAAATCCCATTTTAACTTTGGCTTGCGAGATTCAGCCCATCCACTCAAGGATGGTCAAACCATCTGGAAATCCGCGTTCGAAAGGACCTAAGCCATTCACCATTTTTGGTATACCCTCTGGATCCCTCTGGTAAATAAACATACATAGACCCTGAAAATCAATGAAAATCACCCATTTTTAATGGAAACTAGTCTTGTCACAACCAGTCTTCCAAGCCCGATGACTGCCAGGGTCGAAGTGTTAATTTACCAGAGGGTAACTAATTCCCAGTGATGGTTTCTATAAATACCATGATAATAGGTATATTAATTTAATTCACTGTAATCAATATGGCATAATCTATGTAATATTATATATATATAATATTAGATTAATATGTAATTACCAGTGATAAATATCCCTATCTCGATTTTAATGAAAAACACGTCAGGTCCCATGGTTTCTTTTTTGGATTGACCAGTGATAGGATGGTCGGGATGACCTTTTCATATCACAAAAAGCAGCAGCCCAGCTCCGCACAGCTCTCTGGCACGGTTTGTGACGGCAGCTGGGATTGCAAATCCAAATAGCACAGTTAACAAATAGCACGGTAAATGGGATATTTACCATGGATATACATGGTTGTAAATGGTTAATAGTGGTTAATCATGGTTAATGGTGGCTAATTAAGAATGGTCAATGGTCAATAATGGTCAATAGTGGCGAACAATGGTGAAGACAATCCCATGACGGATCCATGGTGCTGCTATATATGGTAACATGGATCCCATCAATATACCCCAGTCATGTTAGCATATATACCAGCACCATGGATCCTATGGGTACTATGTGGGGCCCCCGTTTACGACGAAATCGCTAAGTTGGTGGGTTTCTAACTCCAATTTCACTCTGGTTTATGATACTTATAATTAACTATACTTAATGGGGTTTACAAACCCCACATTGTAGATATATTTATTGATTTAACATTAATTTATAGAAGCTGATGCCGCAGCGAAAAAGACACCAGGTTGGTAAACACAGCTCCAAGAACCGTTGGGTTGATGTATGTATTATCTGGTTGGTGGTTTCATTCATGGCTTTTATTTTCCATTTCATATATGGGAAATATATGGGATGTCATCCTTCCCATTGACGAACTCCATTTTTAAACATGGTTAAAACCACCAACCAGTTATGATCTATTTAACGCGTGAATGGGGCCTTGACCATCTGATTTGGGGCCACCTTGACCACTGGCAGCTTGCATCGCTCAGAGACATATCCCACAGATATCCCCACTGAGCTTCAAAGGTCAATTTGTCATATGCTTCATATGGGTTTGTCTGAAAATAGTGTACCCCTACACCCAATGGTTAATGATTATCCCTACTAAATGGCTATAATTGGGGGTATACCCCATTTTCAAACATACCCATATGCGTTTCAGCCGTGGCCATGAAACTTGATATCTGACCACTGACCAAATTTTGTTGCAAGCAAATTCTCAGCATCGGAAATCGGCTGAGGATGGAAAACTGACAGAATGTGTCCCCCCCAAACATGGAGCAAAAGCAATGGCGATGACAATTCTTGGCAGGGTTCATAGCCCAATTCTTTGGAGGGTTTACACCTCCGAAATTGCATATTATGTAACTCACATATGATATATAGAAATATATAATTTATATATACACATATAGTTGTTCCCAAAAAACAATCTGAGAAATCCGATATTTTTTTTTATGTCAATGGAAAACCTCAGAATCCGGTCGGGTGCATGGCATGTCATCCACAGCCCAGAAATACCATGATATCCTATCAATACATCATAAAACCATGATATTCATTGATTAAACCCTATGACCTATGATCCCCTATGTGTGCTTCAAACATTCTATACTGGTTGGTGGTTTGGAACATGTGGATTATTTTCCATTTCATATATGGGTTCTCATCCTTCCCATTGACGAACTCATATGTTTCAAGATGGCTATTGCACCCCCAACCAGCTATAGGATATCCACTAACATAGCTATGGAAAATCACCATTTTTAATGGGTAAATCCACTATTTCTATGGCCATTTCCAAGTTTGCAAACTGTAAACGTTTACCAGGCCGGGTATCCAAAAAAAAGATGGCACAGACAGAGATCGATCTCCGAAATCAGGCCCTTGCGGCAGATCTTCGCAGCGGGGCGATGTTGAGCACGTTGAAGTTGGCACGTGATGAGTTGAGTGGTGGGGGAATTCAGGCGGATGGGAAAGCTCCAGGGGTGACTAATGGGGGGTTACCCTCTGGTTATTTGATGGTATCTAATGGTATCTAATGGTTACTCATTTACTTACCATTATATCCCTATGTCCCATAATATATATATACCCTCTGGTGATTTGTTACATAGCCAGTGATCCCTGGTGATCCCAGTTGTCTAAATGGGATGATTTTCCAGTTGCCTCCCAGTGATGGGAAGAACTATGGAATAACTATGGAATAACTATGGTTACCCTCTGGTTATGACTAACAGTTCGCCATGGTTTTTCGATGGCCCATAGAAATAGATGGTTTACCGAACTTGAAAATGGGTGGATCTTTCCATGGCTATGTTAAGTAATCAGATGGTACATGGGGGTTTACTAATGGTGGGCCCCGGCAGTGATGTGAACGTTGGTTTATAAAGCCCATTCACTGCTTAGCTAGTTCAATATATCTAGCATAAACCATGTAAAACTAGTTATAAACCAACTTCGCTATCGTTTTGGGGGCCGGAAGACCACTTTCCAAGCAAAAAGACAGGGCAATTCTCATGGTCGAACTGTTCATTTAGGAGTGTATTTGGCTCGAAATTAGATGAATCAGTTGGCTTTGGTTAGTTTGTTGCTTTAAAACCGAACGCGGTCTTTGGAAAACCGAACTTCATGGCGTCCAAATCTTTCACAAACGAGTAGTCCTATGAGAGGAAGCGGAAGCAGCTGAGGGGGCAGCCATGTCAACGCATGGTTTTTGATGGAGATTGTGTCAAGCAGCACTGGGCTCCTCACGTAGCTGGCTTATGGGTGACAAGGGATGAGATTTTTTTACGTGATGAACCCAAGAAAATTCAACAACAGCCCCAATCTTTTGAAGATTTGTGACGATAAACTTGGAATACCAACGCTCAATTAACCTGTTTCATGATAACACATATTTCATATGTCTTGGAAAAATACTTAGGTTATAATATGTTATAATCATACCTTAGTATCCTTAGTAGTGTTACCGTTAGTTCTATTTGTTATCATCAATCATATATTTGGCTGGTGATTTGACATGCCAGATGATCCCTGCTCTCCCATTTTTCAGGTGCCGAGGCGGCCTCAAGCAGAAATTGGTTTTTTGCACATCCCTGTTGCACAAAAAATCTTCATTGGTTGAAGCATCATAAAGACCTATTTAATTGATGGCTCAAACTACGAAAAAAAAAAACCTTGTTGATGGTTGAAGCATCGACAAAAATATCTTAAAGCCTGATGTTTGAAGCCTTTGAAGCATCAAAGATCACTGCCTGAAACATCCCGTGCCAAAAACTGCCTTGAGCAGGTCTTGGCGGATGCCTTGAGCATCAACAGCTCGGTCCGCAGCTTGTGCCTGGAAGGTGCAGAACTGGGCGACTTTGGGATCCAGGTGCTCCCGCCGCTCCCGGGGGAGCCTTGGGGATTGGTGGTTTTTCACCCGATTTTGGGGGTAAACCCATGGGTAAAAGCATGGGAAAAAGCTAAGGAAAAAGGGAGGAGCCTAGGGTAAAAGCGAAACCATGAACATTACGAGTGGAGATGGTTTTATGAAGGGGATTGATCAGCCAACTGATGTTCATTTGTCGAGAATGCTCTCGCCATAAATCTTTTCGGTACGTCAACATGTGGGATCCCCTCGAAAAGGCTAAGGAATTGTTGAATCCGAAGAACATGAATAACTGGGCAGTGATGCATTTTAGATCAAAGGCGGAGTCCACATTGTGGAGAACAAGGGAAATTGACTTTTTGGTTTGCATCAATCATTTCTGAATCATCCTGTTTTGCAATGAGATAATCACTGAATCACCTTGATGTTCACACCATGTATACCACATACCAGGTGTCACTCAGTATCTCAACTAATATCAACCCCAAAAGAGGACTTAAGAGGCGGCTTGGGAAACTATACTTCGTAAGATTCATAGATTTCATATCGTCAAAAAACACCACGAAAACCATCAAATCAACTCAATCGAGGCTTTTCGGAAACCAACTCGCCATCACCACGGCCGTAACAGGTATTGGCAGAAGGTCTGAAGAAAAACAACTCCATCAGGACTGTGGCGAACTGGCGAACGGACGGGCAGTCGAAAATCCCCATTGGGAACCCAATAATCTCATATACCCTCTGGTAAACTGCCACATAACTATGGAAAGATCCACCCATTTTTAATGGGTAAACCATCTATAAATGGCATGTTCAATAGCTATGTTAGTTTACCAGAGGGTAATATTATATAATGTCCAATCATCGCCAATCTGTAGGATTGGGAAATCTGCATGTAGCCATCATCTGGTTGGTTTCTTGATGACTTTGGTGCTGCCAGATCATATTCAAATAGGGGATGTAAATCACACTGTTTCTGGATGAATTTCATCGTGATCTCACATCACGATCAGGTCCGAGTTGCAGGTTCGATCGAAATTAGCACAGGCAGAGCCTGTGGCACAAGTGGCTTGACCATAGAATACAAATGTGGATAAACATTTTGGGTACTAGCTGCTGTTCGGGTGAGTTAATCCGATCATGATATCGATTGGTTCTCGATATTTTCGGTGTCGACGTCCCACTGTTTTTAGGTAACGATGATATGGCGTTGATGGTTAGCGACAATTGGGAGAAACAATCAAGGTGAAAACTTTGCCAAAGTCTTGAAATATTCTGGTGTCGGGGGTGTGAGATGTGTATAATACTGTTGATGTCTAGGCAGCACATGTTGTTGGGGTGGAATTTGGTCTAAAAGAGCAAAAATAGTTTGTGAATTGCACGGCTTATTTGGAATGAGAGAGATGCGACATTGAGACTAGGGAAAACCAGGTGCGCGTCGCACTGCACCGTGGCGTTCACCTGGGCTAGGCGATACAGGCATAGGATCATAGCCTTGACTTGTGATTTTCCGTGCAACATCTGGATGCTCCAGGTCAATTTGAAATGCAGGTGCTAAACTCGACCTTTTCCAGCTGACCTTGTTTGTGTACAGGCGTTCGACCCAACTGAATGCAACATCAGATACCTCTCATCTGCACCCAAAAAATGAATAGACCCAATTCCAATACTAAGCTAGGGTTGATAAGGGAACATATAGTACTTTCATGTATTACATATAAAACCATATAAAGCCCATTTAACATCCCTTAACAAACTCTCACTATAGATATATCATGATATATCTAACCATAAGCCAAGGTTTACCCAGGCCCACCTTGGATGTCTGGTGGAAAATCTCGAGATCCCTTGGAAGGTCATGGGAAAACCATGGGGAAGTAATCGAAAAATCCCTGGGAAAATCTCTATGAATGGAAGTTTATAGCTGGGATTTCACCATCGAAGTTGATTTGAAGGATTTTCCAGCCTTGATGACTACCCTCTGGTAAACTAACATAACTATGGACAATTACCATTTTTAATGGGAAAACTCACTATCAATGGCCATTTTCAATAGCATTTTGACATAACCAGAGGGTAAATAATACTAAATAACATTACCCTCTGGCAATCCAACACGGCAACTGAATCCACTAACTGTGGACAAGCACGTCCCACGTGCTTTCTTGGTTCCGGACATGTTCCGGATGTTGAATTTCCAAGTTGGGTTACCAGAGGGCACATGATAATCAATATAGATTGACATATAGATTGATAAATCAATATAGGTTGATATATAGTAATATAGATTGTGTAATTTACATAGTATATAATCAGGAATGTCATCTGGTTGGTGGTTTGGAACATGGCTTTTATTTGTCCCATCATATTGGGAATGTCATCATCCCAACTGCAACTGACGAACTCACTCCATCTTTTTCAGAGGGGTAGGTATAACAACCACCAACCAGTCATTATTAACCATCATTAATCATCATTCACCGTCATTAAATCACCATTAATCACCATTAACTGGGGCTGGTCTAATGCTGGGATGCGTATCGCCAGGATATTGAACCTGCGCGACAATTTGATTGGCGATCCTGGAATCAAGGCCGGCTATGGGTCTCGATTTGTGTCCAAAACTGGTTGCATAAACTGGGCGTCAAAAGCAACATCTTCAGTTGTTTTTTTTGAATTCGCTGGTGACTTGATGTTACTTGAGAAACAATAACTGGTTGGTGGTTTGGAACATGGCTTTTATTTTTCCCATCACATTGGGAATGTCATCATCCCAACTGACTCATATTTTTCAGAGGGGTTGAAACCACCAACCAGATAAACAAGGTGATGTTGATGTGGGAAAAGTTGACTGTTTGGTGTCTTTTTAGTTTTCTTGCTATCCGATGAACCTGGGAAATATGATTATTGGCCTGGGTGGTGTTAAAATCCAACATGAGAATGTAAAACACCTGGGTGAAATTCAAATGTTTGAGTGGTTACAATCCCATTTTGGAAGGATTCTGATACGAATTCCACAGAAAGTTCCTGCTTCATCACCCATCAGCAACCCCATTAATGATGAAACCGGTATTATTGTTAACCCAAGATTAGTAAACCACCGTTAAACCACCAGTTTACTCCTTATATTTTATGTTTTTTTTGTCGCGTTGATTTTGGGGGCGCGGTTTGCTATATATTTGCCATGCCTTAGATTGATCATCCCAACAGTGTCATGTTCCATCATCCAATAAGGCCTTGGCCGGCGCGCTGAAGAGAAACGGACGCTTGGCAGCCCTCGGATGGTGCAACCCCTGACTTCGCAACAAAAAACCTCTTCTTACCCTGGCAACAAGCATGTCCACATCTCATGATGCATATTTTGTTTGAAAAAAATAAAATAACTGTGTTTCGTGTGATTTAGGCTTGAATTTTAGGGTGTTAGAATATAGGGTTTTGGTGTTTATGGTTTTTGGGTTTATGGTGTAGGGCTTTGGTGTTTTGGGGTCTAGGGTTTATGCTGGTTCTTTCCTGAAAAGGAACGATAGAAATAAGGTTTTATGCAGTATACAGCAGTATACAAATATTCTTCCACGTAGAGCGCGGGCAAAGGTGGGGGTTGCAACGAACATATTTAAACGACTAATTTGCAGAGTGTTGAACCTGAATTAGTTGAGTCGATGATTTTGGGCATTTTCCTAAAGGGAAATCCACTACGATGGGGAACATGTGTTATTTTTTTGGGTTCCTTAATCAAATCAATGCAAGTGAAACAATTAATTTGGAGAGTCTGGATTTCCAGTGATTTACCGGAGAACCTTCTATTTGGGGGCAATAGTAACAATGAAAATTAGGATATGATTGGATATGCTATGGGAGATATCAACTAGATATGATTTTGTGTCTGAAAATGTGGTTTACCATACCCTTTTTCTATGGTAATTTCATGTTCTTGGCTTATCGTTTGCTGTGCGGGGAAAGTTGGATATGGAAAAACATGTCATCATGTCCAAAAAAAGTCGTAGCAAACAGCCAAGTTTGGAGAGCATGAGCTCAAAATCCTGATGTGGTGGCTTGATTGAAAATAGGTTTTGCCATGTTTTGCCTAAAACCCTATGCTGGTTGGTGGTTTGGAATATAGCTTTCATTTTTCCCATCATATTGGGAATGTCATCATCCCAACTGACGAACTCCATCATTTTTCAGAGGGGTAGGTCAACCACCAACCAGTCATTAAAAAAAACAATCATTAATCATCATTGACCATCATGAAAAATCACCAGAAAAATCATCATTAACAGGTCAGTATGTCGTTCTATTATACTCATCATTAAATCACCATTAATCACCATTAATCATCATTAACCATCAGTTATCATCATTAACCATCAGTAACCATCATTAACCATCATTAACCATCATTAACCATTAACCCTGTTTATTCTTTAAAAAAAATGCCTTTTTTGTCATGGCATCTTTCGATGTTCGGACGCCGGATCTCAGGCAGCATCAGACTCTTGAAGCTAGAGATCAACGAAATTGGCGATGAGGGAATCAAGGTGAATTGAACCATGGGAACGGGACAATTTCACCGGAAAAACCCATCGAAAATCATGGGAAAATCTGTGGTTTCCGGTTAAGATGCTAACAAACCAATCCATTGAGAATTGGAATCACAGAGATGGGGAGAGAAAATGATAGAAATAGGACATGCCGACATGCCCACCATGAGGGTTAATAATAATATGGTTAATGATGGTTAATATATGGTTATTATATGGTTAATAATGGTTGGTATCTAACCAGGGGGATTGAGACAACGATTTTTGTTGACCACATATGGCAGCAATATGTGCCCAGTTGCTGGGGTTTTCTTCTCAGATATTCAGTGTGATGGTCATCACTGGGAGATGTAGGGTCCTACCATCCTCCCAATAAAGACCCTGAGAATCACCATTTTTTAGAAGAAAGTGGTTGGGAGACTCCCCAACAGTATTTGGCAGGGTCTACTTCAGCTGGATGTAGACTTTGTCTTTGTATGTGTCCACTTTGAGGAGTGGAGATGATAACAACATTTTGTCACATAAGCCTCAACAACAACAACAATGGAAGGATGTTGTAGTTACATATCTATAGTAATCCCCAAAAACAGATCCCCAACAACAGAAGTCATATCATCACTATTCTGATATGGAAGTAAATTGTTCATTTAGATGTTTACGTTGGTTTACTGGAAGGTATTTCCTGAATACTTGTCAGTTTTTGTCTTAAAACTTGGTATCGCCAAATCCCATGATGATTGAAAAATGATGTTGTTTAAGCAAGAAAAAACATGATTTCCCCATTTTCTATGGCATTTTCCATCTTAAACGGCCATTGAAAATGGGATCCAATATCCCCAAGTTTCAGACACACGAACAATGGTATTTCAAGATCCAGTATCCTGTAAGATTGAGACCAAAACACTCAGAAGCAAGTTAAAATGGATGAAGAGTGGAGATTGTGTGGGGAAAAACCATGGTTTCACTAACCCATAGGATCCATGTATGGTATATATGCTAACATGACTGGGGTATATTGATGGGATCTATGTTACCATATATGGCAGCACCATGGATCCTATGGGTAACAATAAGATCCTTAAAACCATGGGTTTTTCCCCACAATCCACGATGGCTGGAAGGTCCCCAGGTCCCCGTGGCCGAAAATACAACGGAGGTTAAACGTTCGTTCGCTGGGAATGGATGGGAAAAACGGCCATCCGGTGGATCTTCCGGCTATCATAACTCAGATCAACCAACTACCCTCTGGTTGTGTCAAAATAGCTATTGAAAATGACCATAGAAATAGTGGATTGTCCCATAAACAATGGTGATTTTCCATAGCTATGTTAAATTTACCAGAGGGTATCATGGCCCATTCATGATCCCATAAATCTTCCCCTATACCAAACCCATGGCTTTTCCATGGTGCTGGAATATGAATCCCAACATTTACCCCATAAATGAGCCAGTTTTGTAGGTAAATATACTATACATGGAGCATCTGGGAAATATGGTTTTTCATAGCCTTTAAAATTAAATCCCCACGTTTTTGGCTTGTTTCATGGAAAAAAATGCATCAAAACATGGAATCCGGCAGGCCTTGGCCGTGGCGTTGAAGTCGAACCGAGCCCTGCGGACGCTGTTTCTGGGGAACAATGAGATTGGAGACGAGGGAATCAAGGCGCTCCGCGGCCTGCCTTGATGGAACGGGTGACATGGAGTGCGGCCTTCCATTCGAATGGTTTTTTATCTAAAAAAATCGCTGTGTAGAAAGGTCCCAAAAGAAAAGAAGCTTCAGATTTGGGTGAAATCTCATTCTCAGTGGCAAACTGAACTTGTTCTATTTTTTGGGGGTGTGATATATTTGGAGTGGTTCGGAGCTAGGAATAGAGTTTTCAAAGCACATTGGGTTGCCTGTTTGGGTTGATGTGTTGAATCGAAATCATTGCACGGAAATTTGACGTTATCCTGGGTTACTTAAATTCTGGCAACAGACATTCTGAAATTGAGGTGGTGTATATATATATACCAGTAGTACCGCACAAGGCGGTGGCGGAAGTTTCAGAATAGGAAACCTATAGGAGACGTTGGTTGTTGTGAATCACGGATGGCAGAGCGAATCCACTGATTGACCGAAAGGTGGTTGGAGTTGTGTTTGCTGGAGTGGTTGCAATGGTTGCAGTGGTCACCTCACCCACAACTGCTGGATGTAGTGTGATGTACTGCAACTGTAGTTGTAGTTGTAGCGTAGTAGAGTTGTAGTTGTGGTGTAATGTAATTAGTGTAGTGTAGTTGCAGTCATATAGTTGTAGCTGTAGTTGTTTTGTAGTTGTAGTTGTTGTGTAGTTGTAGTTGTAGTTGTTGTAGTTGTAGTTGTAGTTGTTGTAGTTGTTGTAGTTGTAGCTGTAGTTGTTGTGTAGTTGTAGTTGTTGTGTAGTGTAGTTGTAGTTGTTGTGTAGTGTAGTTGTAGTTGTAGTTGTAGTAGTAGTAGTAGTTGTTGTTGTTGTTGCTGTAGCTGTAGTTGTTGTTGTTGTTGTTGTTGTTGTAGCTGTAGTTGTTGTAGTTCTAGTTGTAGTTGTAGTTGTTGTGTAGTTGTAGATTGTAGATTGTAGTTGTAGTTGTGCTGTTGTCGTCGAAGTAAGGGTAGTTAAGTTAGTGAAGTTAGTTAAGTTAGTCAAGTTAGTTAAGTTAATCACTATCTACTTTTTCGACATCTTAATGTCAAAAAAGGCTCAAAACCCTCAGTTTTTTACACTTTTGACTTCGAAATGTGCTTCGCGCCACAACAGCGTGCACTTTTTCAACATCCGAACCTCCAAAAGTGGCGCGAACATGTGGTGTTTTGCACATTTTGACTTCGAAATGTGCTTCGCGCCACAACGGCGTGCACTTTTTCGACATCGGAACTTCCAAAAGTGGTCCGACATTGGTGTGTTTTGTACATTTTGACTTCCAAATGTGCTTCGCGCCACAACGGCGTGCACTTTTTCGACATCGCAACTTCCAAAAGTGGTCCGACTTCAAAATGTGCTTCGCGCCACAACGGCGTGCACTTTTTCGACATCTCAACTTCCAAAAGTGGTCCGCTCCTCTAGTGTTTTGTCCATTTTGACTTGGAAATGTGCTTCGCGCCACAACGGCGTGCACTTTTTCATGTCTCATCTGGCCAGCTGGCTCCGCACCCGCCGCTTTAGCGAGCCTACTTTTCGACCCTCCGGAGCCACAAATCATTGGAAAAACACAGTGAATCGCGACTTTCCTATCTTTTCGCGCATCTACCTCTTCTTTCTTCTGATCTTTTCTCTTCTGACTCTTCTCACCTCTGCTTTTCAACTGTCCATATTGTCGGAAGTTTCACTTCTAAACTTCCTTCGACAATAGATTTATATTAGGATTTTCTGGGATATTGATCTGATGTTTGAATCACCAAGATAATCAATGATCAAGATTAACTGGTTGCGAACATGTTGTTTTGATCACATCGATAATCATGAACAATTGCAACATAGAATATATAGGCATTGATTGACATGATGCAGTATGATTTTCTGAAAGTTTTGGTATTAGTTTTTTTTTCGGAAGTGGGGCGTAGCAACTGTTTTATTTGAGAACCTGATCAGTGTGGCTACGGATCGTTCTATTCATCCGGATGACTTTGATCACAACCTGAGGTCGCGACATCACCAGAATGATGTTTAGTAGAAGGAATCATCCCAAATGACCGCCGAACAGTTTACTTCCAGGTTAGTGAATCATTCATTGGACTTCAGCCAGATGAATTGGGGTTCAAGGTCTAGGATTCTATATATATATATTTATATATATATACACTCTCTGGTTATTTAACATAGCCATGGAAAATGGTTCATTTATAGATGATTTTCCCATTAAAACATCCATTTATAAGGGATTTTCCATGGCTATGTTAAATAACCAGATGGTATATATCCATTGCATGGTGTTCAGGTTTCAAAGCCCCAACATGTTTCTTGATGAAAGTGTTACAGGGAACATCAGGGAACCGTTGGAAGGTGGTGCCCCCAAGTTACGTTTGTTGGTTGAAGAAAACATGAACTAGTGTTCGATATACCATAAACCCAACAGTTCTTGCAGTTATGTTTAGCAATTTAGCTAAATCATGGTAAATCGAAAGTCTTAATCCACATGTTGGATCATTTTGCATGTGGATTTATATGCGAAAAGAAAACATGACCATGACCTTGACCTTTCATGTCGGGTTTTTTCATGGTGATTTACATACCATCTGATTATTTAACATAGCCATGGAAAATCATTATTTTTAATAGGTAAACCATCTATAAATGGACCATTTTCCATGGCTATGTTAAAAAACCAGAGGGTAATGATGACTAACCATTGGAATGGGGGTTGCTGGGATGATTATTACTAGTGATTATGGATCATTCCTGAAAATACCCTATGTTTAGCACCAGTAAGAAAAGAAACCATTTCATCATTAATCACCATCATTAACCACCATTAATCACCATTAACCACCATTAACAAAAGAAACCATTTCATCATTTCTGTTGCTAGAAACCTCCCCATGGTGATGGACCTCGATGCTCGACAGGCCTTGGCTGAAGCCTTGCAAGAGAACACTTCAGCAACTGGGCCCCAAAATGCTGACGAAGCACCAAAGATGGCATGAAGTTTGTGTAGTTTATTGATGTTTATTGGGATTTCATGATGATTTATTGGGATTTCGTGTTTTTGTAGAATCAGCTGAAACTTAGTCATAGTTTTAAGCAACTGAATCTAGGACCCTTTGGTAGTCACTAACACGGAAGCCATCGGTAGGCCCAGAAATGGATCCAGAATTCTTCTGGTCGAGCTGGTCATTTGTGTCTGAAAATGCTGGATTGACCCTCCCCAAAAAAAAAAACAGTTCAAGAGTGAAGATGATGATAATCCATGATAATCTGGTTGGTGCTTTGGAATATGGCTTTTATATATTGTTATAATATATTATAATATAACTTACATAACCATTGTATCTAATACAGAAGATGATGATAATCCATTGGATTCTGGGGAACCCCGTAATCCTATTTTTGACAGACATTGGCAATGGATGGCAATGGCAGTTTCAGCACGGGCTAGGTGATCGCCATTCGAATTTCAGCACCCTACGGCCCAAAAAATCTTGGTCTCCCTTCAGGAATCCTCATTGAGCCCCCATGGACAAGCCCACTTGTTGAAAGAAAGTTGTTAAATCATGTGTATATATATATATATATTGTGTATATATATATATATTGTATATATATATATATTAGTACCATAGTACCCACATATTACTGCGGATATCTGCGGATAATACATATTATATATATATATATACTAAAGGTAATAGTTATATTATATCATGTTTTAATTTCAAATCAACATATATTATATTATTATAGTGTCTCAAACTATTTTATATCATGATATGTCATGCTATATAATTCACTTAATTATATATAGAATATTTATATATATATATATTATATACATCGTGTGTATACTGTATATTTATGTATATTTATGGTGTATTTCATGATCATTCCCCCCTCGCCAGGTGAACACCTTGGGCATCCGCGGCAAGAACATCTTGCGCATCACCTCTGCCACGGCACCACTGTACCTGGTGCACAACGAGCTGGGCGACGACGCCATCAAGGCCGGGGCCTGGAAAATGATGGGAAAATCCATGGAAATCCATGAACGTCAACTTTTTATGGAAGTTTATAGCTCATAATGTCTATAGCTCATAATGGTTAATGATGGTTAATCATGGATAATAATGGTTAATGATGTTGGTTAATGGTGATTAATGACTGGTTGGTGGTGACTGGAACATGGCTGGATTATGACTTTCCCATCATAGTGGGAATGTCATCATCCCAACTGACGAAGTCCATCATTTTTCAGAGGGGTAGGTTGAACCCACCAACCAGTTATAGTCACAATTACCATAATCATTTAGCATTGATTATTAGCCCAGCATTTAAAGTTAAAACCACCAACCAGTTATAGTTGGGAAAATCAAAAAAAACTGCTGGATATTTTCTCTAAAGGTCAACGACTATGTGTTTCTTGGGAATGTTCCTGAAGATTCATGAAATTCATTTGCATATGAAATGTGGGGTTCCCGTAGGGATATTATATTATGCACATATGCTGCACATATACTGTGTTTTGGCAATGGAAAAGATCATTGGAGTAGATCAAATACGAATATTTCGAAAAAAAAAAAAACTCACTCATATGTTTGAATGGGAATCTGACTGAAAACGGCATCTTCTGTCTACTTCAGGATGATTACAGCCGACAATGGATGGGATAGGGGTAGCAGTGGCTGCTAAACTCCTACTGGTAATTATAATGCGATCAAATTATAAAGCAATACTAGGAATATTTATGAACCAAGCAGTACAATGGAATGGGATGGGATGTTGAAAGCCTGTTGGTTGCTGATTGAAGGGGGTCATACTACCAAATATCTGGGAGATTATCAAACGCCAAGAAATTGGAATCCCGCGTTGAAACAACCGGCATTTCATGGAATGTTCGAAAGGCTGAACACTGCTCAAATGGTTGAGACAGGTTGACTATAACAGTCCCATAGCTGCCAGGCACTGGCTGAAGCTTTGAAGGTGAACAGATCAGTCACATGGCGCTTCGAAGGGTCGTTGAAAGATTTGGAACCAAGTTACAAGACGAATAGCCTCTGGTAAACTCACATAGCTGTTGAAAATAACCATTTATTAATGGGAAAATCCACGATTTCTATGACCATGTTAGCTATGTTAAATTACCAGAGGGTAGAAGAAAAACCATGTTTATTCAACCAATTGCAGATGTCTCCTGTAGATATATTGTAAATTGTCCCTGAAAAATTCTGGGCAACTTGAGGAGTGATTATTCAAGCACTGTGACTTGAAATCTAAGTAGCAACCAGTCGGCGCAAACATGTGAGCTGGCAAAGTACATGACATGCCCGTATTTGTTCATCCCCACCCAAGTTGACTCATCTGTTTATCGGGTAAATAGAAATAGAACCCAATCCAAGGACTGATTAAGTTGCAGTCGGAACCAGCAAGCGTCAAGTACTGTATAATTATGGGATAGTATGGGGGGTGTGAATGGATACGGGCTATCCAATGTCAAAGTCAACCAACCCCATGTTGATGCTTGCCCATGCAAAATTCATCCACAAACGAACTCATATTCAACAAACACCCAAACAGAAGCAACAAGCATGGTTCATATTGAGAATGGGGTCTCCAAATTTCAGGGTCATGGGTCCCATGTTTGGACGTATTTTCAAGGGATTGGAGTGCGTTGTGCTTATATTCTTAGGGGAAAAAAGACACCTTTTCAGTAGCAGGCAGCTGGCACTCGTTTGTTTTGTACTCCGTATGCCGTATGCCCTGGAAAGGAGAACAACCAGATTGCCTCAGCCAGGCCTGGTAGGTCAACTGCTCAAATTCCCATAGCATGCATATCCGTTGAAAAAAGCACCTTTTTTGATCCCTTGTTTAGATGTTGAGACCCTCATGTTTCATAGATAAAATCATGAAGAAGAACAACATGATCAAACCATGATGAAAAACCATATAGATTCATGATAAAACATGATAAAACCATATAGAACCCCATGTTTTCATGGAAAAAAATATCCCAGTCGGTCAATCCTCCAAGCTTCTGAGGTCAGCCAGCTCTATCTGGGTGATCATGACATTGGCGACGAAGGCATCAAGGCGACAGCCAGGGGCGACTTCGGAAACCTCCGCATGGCGGTGTCTGAAAATAGCGGGTAAAATAGTGCATGATTACAAAATAGATTATGATTATCTCTTAGTAAGTGGGTAAAACCTCCATGTCTATTATTAAATAGTGGATAAAATAGGATTATCAGCATGGCCCACTTACCTATAGATACCAAATAAAACCAATAGATGATGTTTTCCTATTTTTACCTAATGTGGGTAAAACAGTATCACAAACCATCCATGACTGGGAATGTTAACCATACCACCTATAAAATGGTGACGACTGGGGGATGGTAAACATGACAGCCAGTTTTACCCACATTTTACCGGCCAAAAAACCATACAATAACAATTTTCATGGGAAACTGATGATAAACGCTGATAAATCGTGAAATTTTGGGGTACCCTATTTTCAGACAAAACCACATTACTATACACATATGGGGAGTCAAACATTCTGCCCTATTGAGGTACCCAATTCGTTCCCATACCCATATGGGGAGTTTAGGGATATATAACATGTGAGCATGGTTTTCTTAGAAATTACACAGCATGCCTCATGATGTATAATACACATACATATAGATATATTATATATAATGTTAAATAAATATACGTATATATATATATGCATATGCATATATATATATATGCGTAGAAAATGGTTGAGTTTCTACCTCCACTTCATTCTAAATGTTCCCATGGAAAATCCCAACGCCAGGCATTGGAGGCGTTGAAAGATGAGAAGTTGCGGCAGGGCCAACGTTTGGTATCTTGATGGCACCCAACGCCAGGGGAAAATGATGGAGTTGGCAACACCTACCCATGGCTTTCCCTTGGAAAATGATTGGAAATCCATGGAAATCCGTGAAAATCATCTATAGATGGAGGTGTATAGTTTGGGAAATCATCTATAAATGGCAGGATTTTCCATTGGCACCCTTGATTCCCGTAGGGGAATTGAATGGACTTGATATTTTCATTCAAGTGCCATGGTCAAACCATGAGACTGCAAAAGAGGAACGCTAGGGGTGCTTAAACCCCCCGCTCCCCCCCTTCAAAAAAAAAAAAGGAGGTTGCCTACTTTGGCACTTGAAAATCTGGTCACGCCTTGCGATTCCTCACCCTTCCTATTCTGTTTTGATACCCACTTCCCTTTGGGTTAAATTTTGCGACACTACAATTATGTGCATGATGCATGCTCTTATCGTATACCAACTCTTGGGGCGCTCCGATTGTTGGCCCTGGTCTTCTCTTGACCTACACGATATTCAGTCACCATAGTTTCAAATGCACTGACCCCACCACCAGAGTCCGGGGCTGTGTCATTATGGACCTCTGAGTTCATGCGAGAGTCGAGTCAAACCATGGATTGTTTTCCCATTTCCTGGGGGATGGGTATTTTTTGTGGTATACGGTATAATCAATCCCTTTTTGTACGGATGGAACGATGATTTTTTAGGATTTAATGATGGTTTATGGATTTACCCTCCAGCAATCGCTGGCAATTCCACTATTTAGTTCGATGATTTTCTCGGCTATAAACATACATCTATCGGGTATGCCCAATTGACATGTTTGATTACCGGAGGGTGTATGTAAAGTATGACAAGGGCTATGATGATATATGATGATATATATATATATATTTACTGTATATACATGTATGATCCTATCACATGTGTTTTTTCATGCATTAATCTGGATGATGTGTCGATCATTTCTTTTTAACATTGAAACATGACTAGGTCACTGTACTGACTTGTAGATAATCAGGTTATTAATTTTGGAAAATCAAAAACAGATACGGGTTTAAGCAACATAAAATTTGACGTTGAGCCACCATAGAACCAACAAACATTGAGATAACTTAAAATTTAACCAATTTAAAAAACTCAGATTGGTTGCAAACCCATTGTTGGATACAAGGACATTATGCTCCCATGCAACAGGGTGTCCCGGTCTTAGGTAAATAATATCCGATTCTGTAAATAAAATTGAAGAGTACCACCCAATTCATCATTTTTTCTTGGTAAATATGGAAGTCATCGGATAATTCCAGAGGTAAATGATAGCAATTTCTATGTTTGACCGTTTTTCCCAATAGACTGACCCTGTCAAAACGCCCTGGGAAGCACGGGAGCCACGTTTTTCCGGCAGGTTTTGGAGTACTGAACGGGTGAGTTTGAGTCCTGGGTGGATTTCACCAACTGAGGGGCTCTGGTAAACTAAGAGTTTGCGAACTGGAAAATCACCATTTTGAATAGGTAAATCAGTTATAAATGGTGTATGTTCAATAGCTATGTTAAATTACCAGAGGGTACATCTAATTACCTAAAATTAGGGATTCTGATAGAATATCACAATCCATGGGCAGTGCTCAACTTAGATGGGGTTGTTCTGTGAAAAACTAACTTGATATGGATTTTATGATTGAAAATGGGGTATCCCCAAATAGCAGTTCACTCAAAGGTTTGGTGTTCTTAAGTATTTTAAATGTTCATCTTGACTTTCAACTTATCAATTTGTTCCTTTGGTTTGGTTACTTTTGAATTCAGGATTCCCTTATGAGAGGAGTACCGTGGGATATCCCCAAAATGTATCTATCACCAAAAATCCACATCAATCCAAACCACCAGCTAATCATTCGTCTAATCATTCGTTGATTACTTGGGGTGATTGTTCCTAATGCCCACCGCTCCAACCGGTCATGGGCTGTTCTTTGAACTTCGAAATTGTCAAGAAGGGTGAGTTGCACTATTCAATGATGGCCCCCACCACATGTAAACTGGGGTATCGTTACCACCAGCGGAGTTAATTTAACTGCAACATTACTGGGACTTGGACAGTAGAGGCTATTCATTGGAAGCCATCAAAAACAGCTTTCAAAAAAGATGTCCACAACAGAACGGACTCGCTCCTCTTTTTGTTTTTTTCGACCGAGTGTCGGACGCAGAATTCAGATCGAATTCAATGCATCTGCCGAACGACAGCAGCAGACAAGCTCAACCAAGGGAGCAGAAAGACACCACTCGGGTGACTGCCGAGATCGAAAAAATCACATGGTTGATAAATCTGGGTAAATTTCATCACGACCTCACAGCGACCGAGCCCTGGAAATCATGGTTTATTTTAGGGAGATCATCCCCTTTTATTGCCTTAATTCAGCTTGGTGAAATATGATAATTTACCCAGATAAATGATGATAAATGGTTTGCGCAGTTGTCTTAAACTTACAAGGCCTGCAACACATCTAAAACGATGGTTTTTTGATGTTTACTCCAATGGCTCCCAGAACCTGATTGAAATATGGTTCAAGGTTCCTCGAGAGGATACAGAGAAGTATTGTTTGGGCATCGTCCTTCAATTTGTTGTAAACTGATCCTGTTGCTGGTTTTTAGACTGTTTCAGGTGTCTTGGTTCTTGTTTCGCTACCCATTTGCAAAGATTGATAAAGACTATACATAAATCTGCAAGATGTGGGGTGGGCCAAGAATCAATTCCGAGTTTGAGTTGCACGCATGCCTATACAAAGATTGAACTTGGCACTGTGAGATTGCTAATTTCACCAACACCCCAGCAACGAAGTTCCTGGTTTCCCCTTTGTTGGTTGCTACATGCTCAGAGTTGACGGGTTGCGTCCCGTTTTGAAAAGCGGACAAGTCTCTTCTATGCTTATAAAATCTTGTAAATGTGTTTCAACTTCAGTCAACTTCATCATGCGTTAATCTGTGGCTGCAGTGCCATCCAAATATGAGGCATCCATGAATTCTCCCTCTTGTTGCTGATTTTAGCAACAACTCTGTAGGTCTATGTACCCTTTTTGTGTTAGTTAGATCATGTTAGATCAATTGAAATGCATCACCAAAAAGAAAAAGACCATTGGACATTTATTGGACATATCGCTATCATTTATATAGGATGTCATCCTTCCTATTGACTCATATTCTTCAAGATGGTTATTGCACCACCAACCAGTATAATTAGACGCAACGCCCACCATTTGCCCCACAGTTTACATGGGGTAGGATGGGGTGGGATGGGGTGCGGTAGGGTGGGGTGGGGGGATGTTAACGTTCCCTCGACCACGTTCCCTCAACCTTGCACAAGATGTTGATACTACGCTCACAATTTTCAAGGAATCTGTCAAAGAAGACGATGATCATACCAGCGATGTTGCTGTTGTTGTTGTTGTTGATGATGATGATGATGATGATGGCGATGATGATGACGATGATGATGATGATGGTGGTGATGATGATGACGATGATGATGTTGATGATAGTGATGATGACAATGGTCCCGTCGAACTCTTCCAGAAGCGGGGCAAATGGTGGGAGTTGATCGTATAATTACTAATAGTTACTAATGGAATAACTAATGCTCAATGGACTATTGATGGTATACTAATGGAATATTAGTGGTATGTTAACACCATCATCATATCATTGGGAACTATTGGACATATCAACTGCTATCATTTCAAAGCTCATTTGTCTTGGGCTCAAGAGGATCGAATCTCCCCATCATTCGATCTCTGCATCAGCGACTAACAAAGCCAGGTCGGGCTTCATCGTGGATGGGAAATCCCTCATTTTTTCCCGGTTGGATTAGATCCATGATAATCCCCAATGTGATATTGGGTAGAATCATGTCGATCATGTAGAATCCCAGAACCAAAATCATGAACGCCCACATGGATCAACCACAGTCGTGGTGAAACATAAAATAGATACACTTTCCAGCTGGTGGTTTTACCCAAGAGTCATTGGCATCCCTTGGTCTCTTAGTTTCTTTTTGGAATGTCGATGAACAGATTCTTCCTGTGGTCACTATGATAATATGCGAGGCGATCGTACCAGGTACTGCCCAATTTGGGTGTTTAACCAACAACGATAGGGAGTGATAGGGATATGTATATATATATACATATCATATACATACATATACAACCAACAAGAATACAACCAACAAGAATACGGATATACTTGGGATTTTTCGGATATCTAGATCTGGATGAATTAAATCATGGACCCAAATCGTGACATCTCTGGAATGATGGTTAGGATTGGGGGGACTCATCCCCATAGCTGGCTGTGATGTTAGTGAATTACTATAATTCCGCCAGATAAATAGTACTGACAAGATTAAATCTAAATAGGAACCTATTCTGGATAATAGAATTACCAAGATTATACCAAGCCATTTTGATTTTCCAAACGAAACTAACCAAGCAGGGATTCTAGAAACGAATGATCTCGTCAGAAGATGTCCGGATGTATCCTCTTCCAACCACAGGTTGTGGCGATTCTATTCAAAACTTGGGATTCTTGAGCCTACCATAGCCAAATCATGTTTAATAATGCCTAATAGACTAGCTATATGCCCACGAATTATTCACGTGAATCCTTGCAAGATTAGAAGACTGCCACATCACGAAAAAACCATCAAATTCTCCGCATCAACGACTCACATCCGTTGGTACATCCGTTGGTACATCCGCACTCGCAAACAACGGAGGATGACAGAAGTATTGTGTAACAAAGTGTAACCGTGTAAGCCATCCGATGGTCTGAAAATCGCACCCAAAATCCAGCCAGGTTCATCATCATTACCCTCTGGTTATGTCAAAATAGCTATTGAAAATGGCCATTGATGGTTGATTTACCCACTAAAAATGGTGATTTTCTACAGCTATGTTAGTTTACCAGAGGGTATCCCTATAAAAATCGCCATCATTGGGGGCGTAGCCTATTGATCCTGTTAGTTCCTAGCTACTTGATGTGTCCTGAGAAACAGGGGGGATCAATCCTGTCACATGGAGGGTATATGCCCATGACATGCCCATTCTTTACCTAAGATGTACCCTCTGGTATGTAAACTGTCACATAACTATGGAAAATCACCACTTTTAATGGGTAAATCGACTATTTCGACTGGGCCATTTTCAAGTTCGCAAACTGTTAACGTTTACTGGAGGGTACTTCCTGTTCCCAGGAATTGTGCTACAAATGTGTTTCATTAGTATGTTGTTCATTGGTTTTCCCATCAGAGTGGGCTCACTACACCCGTTTTTCCGGGGTTTTTCCACCATGAGGTGCCGGTGAACATGGCCTGTTGCGATGAAGAAGAAGTCTTGACAGCCGGCAGCAGATACTTGGCCCCACAATGTGGTCGAAATGGCTCTGAAAATCGAGCCCGAAAAAAGCCCTATGGTTTTTAGATGGTTTTTTATCATCATTTCTATTCATTTCTCCTACTACATTGCCGGTATACCATGGTATACCCCATTTCCAGACACACCCAAATGGGAGATCATTGAACATTGGATTCTTTGAGCTTATTTTCAGACGCCCACATGGATCGACATCCCCGGTAAAAAAAAGACAGGCCGAATTTGTCGGGAAAAATCCACATGCTTTTAAATGTTGCACAGCGAGATGTGCACCGAATCGATCCAGATCCTCGATGTGTCCATTTCACCCTTTCATCACCAAAGGATTCAACCGCTGTGAAGGTTTTTTTGTGGTGTTCCCATGCTGCCAGTCAATGGACAACCTTTCTTATTGCGAGCATGTGTTCTGACATCTATAGGGCATATAATGGCATATATATTTTGATATATTCATTGACTTGTAATTTGGAGTTTCTTGGAAATGAAACTGATCGCGTTTTGAATCCGTTTGAGTGATGTCCTAGGACCAATGAAGCCATGACACATCAGATTCCATGAGAGCCACACAATGTTTGGCCTTTTCGAGAATCCTGGCCATCATATGTTTCGTTTTTGGGTAGATTTCAACCCAACAGACCCAGTCCAAGCATGTGTGGGAGACACTCGAAATGTTCCCCTGGAAGTGTTTAGCCAGTGCTTTCTGTTTCTGTTGCAATCCACCCAAGTCCATCGAAGTCGTTTGCGCCGAATTTTCAGACAGATCATATGATATCGACACCTTAGTGATGCTTCCAAGCTCGAAAGACAGAGACATTGGTGTTTCAGTCATTCACAATTTGTAGAACTTTGGTGAAGCTTAGGGAATCAGGTCGGAGCCGAATGTGTGGGGGTTGGGAGCCTGTTGAGTTTACGAGATTGCTGATATGAATATATTCCCTCTAAGTCTGGTTATTTTAAAGGAAATGGCCCATAGAATCATAGAAATAGATGATAAACATATATAAACATGATGATTGACCTATTATTTGATTGGTGAGTTTCCAGTTTACGTTGAAGATGTGAACTTTGCTTAGTTGTTTCCCCGGCACATGGCTGCCATGGCCCCAAGGATATCACTATGTGGGTCAGGGCCTTCAGACCTCGAAACCCAGGGTGATGTCGAAGTGAAAGTCTGTTGAGATGAAACCCAGGAAGCTCCAAAAAAAACCAGGAATCCCAGAGGGTTTGATGGATATGTAGATTGCTTGGCTTTGTCTGAAAATGGGTTATACCTCAAACTCCCATTGGGTTCTCAACATTTTCCCAATTTGAAATATTTACCCTCTGGTAATTTAACATAGCTATTGAAAATGGCCATTTATAATATTTATAGTTGATTTTCCCATTAATAGCATGGTGATTTTCCACAGCTATGTTAGTTTACCAGAGGGTACCCAAGGTGGTACCCTGTTGGTGGTGCCCCTCCAGTTATAAATGGGTTACAATCCCCTGACTGGTTGGTGGTGACTGGAACATGGCTTTTGTTTTTCCGGGAATGTCATCATCCCAACTGACGAAGTCCATCATTTTTCAGAGGGGTAGGTATACCACCAACCAGGTTATAATCCCATGAAAACTATATATCACCTATAAACCATAGTGAAATTGGACTTATGTTCACCAACTTAGCTAACTATGGGGCATCACCCTGCAAAGTCTCGGTGTTTTTCTTAACATTTGTTTCACGGGATGTCCATCGCGTTTCCCTGTGATGTTTCGATGTCAAAGTTGAGACACATAATTCCAGCACTGGCCACCCGCTAAAGCAAAGCCAAATTGTCCTGTAGTTTTTGGTGGGACCTCCCAGCATTGATTCTTTCACATGGTTTCCATGTTTTCTTGAAGACGGTCATACGGTCGTGGGTTTCACCTTTCCCCCTTTCCCAGAAAGGGCTAGAACACGTGCACTGTTCATGTCCAGGTCACGTGTGAAGAAATGTCGAAATTGCTACCCTGGGAGCCACAGCATCATCAGCATCATGTCCATGCTGAACAAGGATCATTTGTTCATGCGGATAACCCACTTGCATAAATCATCCCCAAGTCATCACCATTTTGATGGGTGGGATTTTAACATATTTCAACCATCCCCAGTCATGGTGTAGTTTCTGGCATGCGGTTTCCCACATGATCTTCATTTCCATGGTCTTCACCATTGTTCGCCACTATGGACCATTATTAACCATTGACCATTCTTAATTAGCCACTATTAATGGGAAGTTGGCAGGCAAAGAATGGATGGAATCTTTTGCATCGATCTGCATGAAATACATTGAAATACCAATGGGCCATGGATTATGAGGCATGTTTCGATCTGGGCAAAATTATAACGACCTCACTGTTCTCCCGAAGCCTGGTTCATCATGGTTTATTTGAGGGGAATCATCCCAAAATGACCATATATTTTGGGTTAACTATCATAATTTGCCCAGATGCATTATAGATGCAATACCAAACTATCCGGCATAGCTTGGCTTATGAGTGTCTTCTCCCCTTTGGACGATGTTTTCGATGGTCAAAATTCACCAGTGCCCTGGTGCCCTCTGGCGATGCGTTTCGCAGACTTGGGACCGTGCTGTTTTCTTTGATGGCTATGTTATTTGTCCAGTCCAAGAAATGTGGGGTACATATGGGTACATGGTTTTTCTTATACTCCATTACTCCAATATATGAATGGGAATTTCAGGACCCAAAAATAGAGGTACGTTTTTTTTTCAAAACCATATTTAGAGTCATACTTTGTGGGGATCTTCCCTGACATCTAGCCATGACATATCCTTAGGCCTTGTACATGGTAGGTACACTGTAGCTACCTCTTATGATCATCCTTCAGGACCTGTCGGCTGTACAAATCCATGGACTTGGTTATGCATACCCATGACGGATCCGGCTGGTGCTGGCATATTAATGGTGTGCCATGGATCCCATCAATATACCCCAGTAAAATGTTAGCATTTTTCTACCAGCACCAGCCGGATCCGTCATGGGATATGTTATACAAGTATCCCATAAATCCCATAAATCATATAAATCCAAAACATATTCCCATCTGATATCATTATATTTATATACCGTTACATTCAAGTACATGTATGTAGCGCTGTTCGATAATTTCGATATCTAGCATAGAATTATCTTGATATCTAGCATAGAATTATCCCATTAAACATCATTCAGTATAAATTTATCCCATAAGATATTAGTCACATTTACAGATGTGTAGTTTTATATGCATGTCACATATATATAGTCTATTATACATATACACATCCACGAGGTTATCCCCATCCAAGATTTGCGGACTTCGAGGCCCTAGTTCTGGAGCATACGAACAAGTCACAGAGTTGAAGTATGTGGGTGAAGGCGGGGCCACAGGAAGCCCAACTCATGATGGTCACCGCTTGATTTGTTTCTGGAGCAACATCTCATTGCAATCATCACTGTTTTGGGGCTTCTATAACTTGGGACATAAACGTTTATATGGGTATGGATCAATACCTATTAATACCATTTTTAGGGGGATGAACATCCATTTACCAGCTATTTTGATGTTCGCCAGGGGTACAAGGTTTTGACACGCTGCCATATCATTTATTACGTTTATTGAACTTGAGTTATGTCCTACTCACCAAGGGAGGGCTGAAAAAAGTGCTCGAAAAAACCCAAGATGTATGGTCCGACACCTCGGATTTGTTCACACATAGTCATTGCAACGGGTACCCTCTGGTTATTTAACATAGCTATTGAAAATGGCCCATTTATAGATGGTTTACCTATGAAAAAGGGTGATTTTCCATGGCTATGTTAAATAACCAGATGGTATTTGATTCTGAAAGTGTATTGATTTACTGTAAGTGGTGCGTAGCATCATGTAACAGTATCATACTACGTATCCCTGCGTGTTCAAAGATGCATTCAATCAATGGCCATGACTCAGGAACCTAAACCGGAGGTACCTACCATATATAAGGCCTATTTCTTAGGCCTAAATTTCAGGGAATATCCCCACAAAATATGGCCAGAAATATGGTACGTTTACGTACCTCCATCTGTTGGATCCTGAAGATTTCCCAGTGATTCAATTCAAATTCATGTGTGCCTCATCCATTTTCCCATAGCTTCCGTCCGATCATCGGCGCTGTTGCCATGGACCATGAAAAACCTGGGTTGAACAACCAGAGATACCCTCTGGTCATGACTAACATAGCCATGGAAAATGGCCCATTTATAGATGATTTTCCAGCTAGAAACCTCCATTTATAAGGGATTTTCCATGGCTATGTTAGTCATAACCAGAGATTTTCATGCCATGGTCATCCCCCCATTGATACTGTGGATGGTTGTGAAATCCTGCACCAGATGGTAGCTATTGATAACCTTGCACTTCAAATAATGGTATTATTTGATAAGGGATAAACCAATGCAGGATTTCTTCCACAGTAGGGATCAATAAAGCCCTAATTTATGGATTCCCAGGTAGAAGATTGTGGAAATGCGGTTCAATCCAATGTTTGAGTCAGGAAAAATTGCACCATCGGTCATCAAGCATTCTTCGGAGACCATCCATATAGTTATCAGAATCATCCATATCATCTCATATGGGTGTGTCTAAGAATGGGATCAACCCATATTAACCCCTCCAAAGTGTAATGTTTTCGGAAAATGATGATGAATCAGTAGATGAGATTGTTTTCGCTAAAACCCATCTGAAACCGGGTAAAACCCATGGTTTTTCCACTAGTTGAACAGTTGAACAACCCTAGATTTTCCTTGAAACGAATCCATTAAGCAACTATGATGTGTATCATTAAGGGCATTAACCCCCATGTTTTGCTGGTAAACACTGGTAAACCCCCGATGTTTCAGGGTTAAGCTCCGATTTTTCATGGATAATCCATGTCAACCCAAGATTTTTCCCCATCCGAGCGACACCTTCTGCCCACACTGCCTTTTTAGGACAGGGGAGCATCTCGAAAGAACAGGTGAAAGAAACAAAGCCAGGTGTCCCCTGGGTGTGGTGTCCCTCGGTGAAATGTCCGCGTTGCAATGGGGGTCAGATCTTTCGAAAAACCTTGGCATAGAATCTGGGTAAATTTCATCGACCGAAGCCTGTTCTCCTGAACCTTGGAATCATGGTTTATTTGAGGGAAATCCTCCCCATGGGAGGCCTTAATTCAGATTAGTGAAATATGTTCCATTTGCCCAGATAGAATGAATGGATAGGGTTGCGAGCAGTTCATTGAAGTCCCGGTTGAACATGGTTTTTCAGATACCAGGTATCCCGGGTATCCTCTGATTATTTAACAGTTTGACATGGAAAAAATGACCTTGAAAAGAATAGGAACCAGGTAAACTATCTACAGATTGATAGTTTTCCATTGCGAACAATAGCTAACCAGAGGGTATCTCGTTACCCTCCTGTGTCATCAAAACAATGGCTAGCTGGAAAATCCCCGAACCAAATAGGCATCTAAATATTAAATGGTAAAATCATCGAACTAGATTAGAGATGTTCCGAAAAAAAACATGTGATCAAGACTTCTTGGATGATAAGAAGTGTATTAAATCCATGTGGGGGATGATTTGGAGAGGTAGACAATCCATGGATGATAAAAATCTGGATTTCCAGCTGAACCTGGCGGCACGGATGTTCTGAGTCGGTAATGTGGCGGAAGTTTATTTCGAGACTTGTCATGTGAGAAATCTAAGAGGAATCTGTTCAAGCAAAGACATGATGAAAGAAGAGGAGACATGTCGTGTCATGTCGTGTCATTGGGTTGATTTTAAGTTTCATGGCTTATGTGGGGATGGATCAGATCGAATTATTGTACCATATTTTCGGGAAGACCAGATGACCCATGGAAATCCCAGCTATTTTGGTGCGAAAAGAACGGGTCCTGATCAAGTTTTGACCCATAGCCATGTCATGCAATTGCCGTGGTCAGCTCCATTTTTTGCAATAGTTGGGTGTGCTATCCATGGATCTAGTGGGTCAATTGCAGAGCAACAAAAACAGCCACCACATCCTTTTTCAGAGATAGGCCTGAGATAGGCTATGATAACTGTGGATGGTTGCGAAATCCTGCACCAGTTGAAAACGGTGGTTTATCCCATGATTTTGTTTGGGTTTCAACAATCCTTAAGTGGTGGTGCAGGATTTCTCAACCATCAACAGTAAGCTCAGCAGAAAGGAATTGGCTAAATGGTACCCTCTGGTTATTTAACATAGCCATGGAAAGATCCACCCATTTTTAATAGGTAAACCGTAAACCATCTATGAATGGGTCATTTTCCATGGCTATGTTAGTCATAACCAGAGGGTAAACGGTCCACCGGGGCGCTGGCCGGCGCACAATAAGGTGCCTGTTTGGCAACTCGCTCGCAAGATTGTCTCCGTCAGTTTGGGAAGCCACTGGAAATCTTCTGGTTGGTGATGGTTAATGATGGTTAATGACGGTTAATGATGTTGATTAATTGTGATTAATGTCTGGTTGGTGACTGGAACATGGCTGGATTATGACTTTCCCATCATATTGGGAATTTCTCATAATCCCAATTGACGAACTCCATCATTTTTCAGAGGGGTAGGTATACCACCAACCAGTCTTTGGTGTTTCTTTAGTGGCCCTTCAGCAAACCCAAGTTATTGACTTTGACCCCTGATGAGTGTTTAGGACTTTGAGCACAACCCACGCGTCGAGTGATGGTTGTAACCATCGTGTCCCAATTCAGATCCATCGGTCTGTCAAAGTTCAAAGGGATTCAAGACATTTCAAGACCTGAAATTTAAGAAGTACACTGCTACCTCACATCCCTCATTCCATGGATGGGATTATCCAAGTTGACAAGTTGACGTTCTCACTGTTCCTGGTTCAAGCCACATCGTGTGTTGTCAAATCATTTGATCTTGGACTAGCTGGACTAGTCATAGCCGTCGCTAATCTGACCAGTCATGGCTAGTGAGTCGTCAACCACAAAAAAACCGTGTGACCATGGTGATTTCAGACACATAGATTGAGGTATGAAGCCCCAAAAATTGTGACTACATAGCTACTTAATTACTAAGCAGCTGTGTCTGGAGATGAGATATACCCCCAAACAACCATTAAACATCGGGGAGTTCCCCATCTTCAAATTAATTGAAAAAACATCAAAAAGTGTTGTGTGTTTTTTTCTCATTTTTTTTCAGGTACCAAGTGACCCACAGTGTAACTCCATCCAAAGCAAGCCACAGGCGCCTCTGTTGATCTTGCCCTTCCTGCCCTTTTTCTTCATCAATCCCGCATCCTTCGAGAACGAAGTTCAAATGGGAGCCGCCCCAGTAATCACCACGACGTCGAGCCCGCGACAAATCATCATCAGGCAGGGTATCCTCTGGTAATCTTTTTGAATGGAAGTTTATAACTGGGAAAATCATCCGATGGAGATGTTCCAGTGTTCCAGCTAAATGGATGCTTAAAAATTATGGGCAACAAGATAACTGGAGTTTCATAGCGAAAATCATGGAGCTACGCAGCTACATGGTGGATTTTCCAGCCTCGTTTGATTAGCGGTTTTCTATGGGCCAGGGTCACGTGGATGCGCTCCGCATCGCGAAAGGACGTTCTGATGAGGTTGAGATGCTAACAATAGGGAAGGCCAAATTTACATCGCCAACATGTTGAATGATACCTCATGTTTGATCTATGGGACTGATTGCGAAGCTGCACCAACAGAGAAGCGGCTACGTTGACTTTGGTGGATGGATCTTCATGGGTGGAGACAAGCTGGCAGTGGAGATTTCTTTGTTTCAAGGTGACCAGGGAGACAGATTGACAAGGCAACTCAAGGACAAGGGTCGGACAAGGTGGTCATTATCGGAGTTCGAAGCAAGTACACTGCAAAAGCGCCACCACTTGCGATGTCAAGCTATGATTCCAATTTTTTGTCGCTCCTGATGGCCAAAGATGGCCAATGAGGTCAGGACCTCACCACATTTGGGGGGTATCGCGGCATCCCGGATATCCCTATGACGCCAGTCTCGCCACAGTTAGATGAGCCCAGCTACAGCGATGATTGGCGATTCATAGGATGTAATCCCCCATGGTTTCTGGGTACCCAGCCGTTGGTTTGTTCATCGTTTCTTCATCGTTTGTTGGCTGGGCACTCAAAAAAGGAAACCCCTCAAACTATGGTGTTTCCGGTTTTTTTCCTGTGTTCCCTTAAACAACCCAAGCAAGCAAATATCCTGATGTTCGATGATTTTCGATGGTGAAGCCTTCATTTTGATGGTTCACCCAGTTCACCCCTGAAATTTTCATGGTCCCATGTTTTAGCCAATATTTACCACATTTTGTCAGATCCGTCAGGCACCACGTGATACACCGCAATCGGGTGGTTCATGTACCAGTGCCGATGCCTGGCGCGCCACATGTGGTCTATGACAAGGTGGGGGATGGTGGGGGATTTGGAGGATCGCAGGATCCCCACTGGGTCGGTGGGTCGAAGATAGAAAGTAACTGGGCTGTGATTTAGTAATGGTGATTTATGGTGATTTTATGGTGATTTATGGTGATTTTATGGTGATTTATGGTGATTTTATGGTGATTTATGGGGATTTTATGGTGATTTATGGGGATTTATAAGGGGATTTATAGGGGATATAATGGGATTTATGGGGATTTATAAGGGGATTTATAGGGGATATAATGGGATTTACCCTCTGGTGATTTGTTACAGTCCGCCATGGAAAATGATGGCCCATAGCTAAATAGATGGTTTACCGAACTTAAAAATGGGTGGATCTTTCCATGGCTATGTTAAATAACCAGATGGTAACATATGGTAACCCATTTATAAATGGGAGCCACGTTCAGAAAGGGGACTTACTAACCACTTACTGGATTTGCCACGTACTACTCCCCTTCCTTGCAGAATCATCCCACCAAGTGGGTAAATGTTCGTAAGCCAGGTGAATAAATCTATATACTGCATGGTTGGTGGTTTGGAACATGGCTTTTATATTGCTTTAATGGTTAATGAACTTGTTGATGGTTAATGACTGGTTAATGATGGTTAATGATGTTGGTTAATGATGGTTAATGATGTTGGTTAATGGTGATTAATGTCTGGTTGGTGACTGGAACATGGCTTTTATGACTTTCCCATCATATTGGGAATGTCATCATCCCAACTGACTTTAACTCCATGATTTTTCAGAGGGGTAGGTATACCACCAACCAGTCATTATTAACCATCATTAATCATAATTAATTCACCATTAATCACCACCATTGATAGGTTGAAACCACCAACCAGTATAAATCTTAAAATCTTCCATTCGTGGGTCATAACTGGCTGACAAATAAAAACCGCAGTGGGATGATCCTCGTAGCCATGGGAAACAGGTCATGTAGAAATGGCTGGTTTCTATGGCTATGGGAACTATGAGTTTATGGCGGTTTTTCTTGGGCCATTGCACATGGCCAAATCTTGTGGCCGGACTGCAAGATACGTATACATAATATATGTATATATATATATATATATATATCTGGGTAAATTATAACGACCTCACTGCGACCTCACTGGAATCATAGTGACTAAGGGAAATCATCCCCAAATGGCCTTAATTCAGGTTGGTGAAATATTAAATTTCCCCAGATATATATATATATATATATGTATTCAAGTGATCTAAACTGGCAACCGGAAATTCCTTCGGTGATCCATTTGTACTTCGGAGTGCAGTTGGGGATATTGGTGGCTATAATTCTGATCATTTTCACCACTTCTGGGAACACACCCCAGCTAGATTCCTTGAGCGTACCTTTGGGGAAGCTTCTGCCGAACGGTCATCTAGGTTCTGTGCCCATGTTCCTTGCTTGAATACCGATATCCGAATTTGTTGATGTTGATTAAAGTCCAACTTAGATTGCTTTGAAACTCAATTGTAGTTCAGATCAAGTTTTTGTTGAGTCATGTGCTTTGCCCCCCCATCCAAAAAAAACTGGTAATCTCCTCCTCATTTTCCTCAAAAGGTTCACAATTTCACAGAACGTCCGTGGTAGGTGCAGTCTCCCCATATGTCCTACAGCTGCTATGACGCCGAGACGTCTGCAGGGAAGGCGAATGGAGAATGATGAATGCTGAAGTGGTTCTTAACATGTTTTACACCCTATTTGTGGATCTGTTTGTCTAAGAAAACCCATTCCATATGGATTTTCATGGATTTTCCACATGGTTTTATATGTTTACCCCAAGGTCACCATCAATTTTTTTTGGTGAAGATCCTTTGGGATGATATCATCCATGGGTCCATGAGATGATCCAGGCGGCTTCAGACCATTTTCCCCGGATGTTAGGAGGATCCCAGATAGGCAAATCTATGGATCCCTTGGATCCCTCATGATGAAATTATGGGGTAATTACCCTCTGGTAATTTAAAATTTATAACATAGCTATGGAAAATCACCATGCTATTAATGGGAAAATCAACTATAAATAGCAATTTACCATTAAATCACCATTAAATCACCATTAAATCATTATAAATGCCATTTTCAATAGCAAACTGTTAGTTTACTGGAGGGTAGGCCATGATTCTCCCCTGGTTTCCCAAAAATGTTTTTTTCTGAGTTGATGATGTTCGCAGAGAAGGTCGCTTTTTTGTTTCCAACACTAAGTAAGACAAAACAGATAAATACGAGGTAATTAGATACCCAATGAATTTCTCGAATTCCTATTATAACCCGAAGATTGGAATATCTTTGAATACCAAGATGTTTTAGTAGCTGAGTTGTGATCCCAAGTTCAGAGGATTATCCTTTCTGAATCTGATTTGGCTGCTCTGCAAGAGGATTTGGACTACGCAGAGTACGTCAAAGTGGTCCAGGACCAGCTAGACGCGCTGCTGGATCCCACTAAGACAGCCAAGCTACAGATGGTGAGCCGAGTGCTCCGCGCGTCGTTGAAGATGGACTATTATGAGTCCCGCAAGGTGCATGGAAGCATCGATGAGCTCGGTACCAGACTCATTTTTGGGTCATGTGTCGTCAGAAACGGGATCATCAGAAGCATTCTCCAGCCGGTCTTTGAATTCACCACAAAGGCCTGTTTGTCTGCGGAAGATCTCGCAGGTCCAGTCGGACTTGGAGTCGTGAATGCGCAGCCTCTGACTGCGGAGGTTGTTCACAGATTCTTGCGCAGTGTCCCCACGATCTTGGAAGAGCGTGGCTACATTGCAATCGCACTCATCGCAGGAGACTCCATATACCTTTGTATACCGTGGACAAATGACGAGGCTGTGATGTGCATGACCGAAAGGGTGAACGTTTACTTTCGACGGTATCACAAGTCCCAAAAGAGCGAGCTCAAGAGCAAAGTCATGAAATACTACGGCCTCACGGGAGAGCAAGAAATGAAAATCGGACGGGCAAAGCCCGATCATTCCTAAATAGTGTGGCTCAGGAGTCAGGGGACCCAAAAATTCCTATATATATATATTATAGTATATAGTATATATTTTTTATTTATATATTTTATATTGTATATTTTATTTTATTTTATTTATTTTTATGTTTATATTTTATATTGTATATTTTATTTTATATTATGTATTATATTATATTATATATAATAGAGTATATTATAATATATATATAATAGATTATATTATAATATATGTATAATAGATTATATTATATATTAATTATATATGTTATATATATATAAGTTGTCAGCATTGTCCCATGAACAAATGCCATAAATTGGGGTATCTAGTTCATCTTTGGACAAACCGAGGTGGGGGTCAGGAGGTATCTCAGCCATGTATCATTCTGTTCGAAGCTCGATGCAGATCAAATATAGCGAAAATCCAGCCACATGCTCCATAATTGTCCCTTAAAATATGGTTTTGGCTGGATTGTTATTGGAAAACTACGTCCCTAATGCTCCAAATGCTCCAAATAATGTTTTTTGGTAGTTTCCCTATAGATGTCCCTGGAAAAAACAATAAAAAAATGGATTCCTGCTTCTCCAACTTGAAGCGGCGCCAGTTGTGGAGCCCCAAGCACAAAGCCTGGTGCTGTTGGAAGCAGAACATCGCCTGCCCGACCCATGTGCCTCGATCTGAAGATCGGAATGGTCTAAGGATGGGTACCCTCTGGTAAACCCATTAATAGCATGGTGGATCTTTCCAATTCGTTATGTGACAGTTTACCAGAGGGTAACTTATACTTATCAGATGTTAATGGCAATTTTCAATAGCTATGTAAACGTTTACCAGGCCGGGTACTTTAGTCATGTGGTCCCAATGTCACCATCCCCATCAGAATGTGGGTGATGTTTGATGAATGATGGGTGGCAGTGGCCGTGGCAGCCATGGCAGTGGCATCTGGTTGACTCGGTTGACCGCATGACTGAAAAATATTTTCTGGTGTCATGTTTTTTCGCTGTTTTTAGGATGATTCCAATGATGATTCCAATGATGATCCATTGTTTGTTTTTGTTGTGTGAGATTAAGGATGAATCCGATGATCCTTAGTGACAGGAAGGTTTTTCAGATGTTCGAAGGATGTTTATTACACTACAAGAAACATGCAGGGCAGCTGGCAGCTTATGCCAGGACTTCGATGCTTCCCAGACTGCGCAATGTGGATGATTTCATCTGTCAATGAGAACCATAGAACCAGTGCTCCTGCTGGATTGAAAACCAGTGTTTTTTTGTCAAATTCTCAGGGGCTCCTGGTTTTCAATGTCCATTTCCCTTCATTCCTGGGAAGTGATACCTGCCCATTCAACACAAATCCGGTAAAACCACAAGTTGATTTGATTCAAGGTGGTCTCCAGCGGTGATGTTAGTTGGTTGATAACTCATAAATTACTACTTACAGATGCAAATTCCTTAAATTCAATCGCAAGCCTCGGCAGAAACCAACATTTACTACACGTTCTATACATAGATGCCGGCAACCACCACTACCCTCCCCAAAGAAAATAGACTGTACCCACCCCCTGTGGTTGTTTGTGGTTGAGATTCGCCCTATGCATAGTCTTACTATGGAAAGATCGACCATAAATATCCCATAAATGACCAAAAAACAAACCTTCTTGTAAGCAAAAAAGACGCCATCAAATATCGTTAAACACCATAAAACACACCATAGTTTGAGGATATTTGATGGTTAAGAATCCCTTTGTGAGGCTTAAACTTGAGATTAGGGGAAGCAGCACCAACCCTCGTGCCATCTTCAGGTGGTTACCCATGACAAGTACATCCATGTCACCCACACCCATGCAGTGCCCGTGCCGTATCTCGGCACACAAAAAAAGGTGTCGTGGAGGGTGGAGTTTGGGGATGTTTTTTTTTTCTGGATTTGAGTGATGCAAGTGTTTTTCCTGGAAGAAATTGAATTTTGTCAGCCAAAATTGGGGTTGGGTCAACCAACATTAGTATAAATCATGACCGACAGCAGACAAAAATGTGGTGACACTGCATGATTGCTAGATGTAAGGATATGATATAGTCCTTTTCCCGATCATCAATAACCTCTCCAACCAATATGACTCATATATGAAGAGATCCAACGTATTCTTCCTGGGGGTTGGACTGTGTTTATGCCATGAGGGATGATTGTGGAGAGTCATCCGGAGTTTCTGCGAGAATCCACTGATTTTTTCCACTAGTGGACAAAGTTGAATGACTGCTTAAGTATATTAGCTGGCATCATGGTTAATAAGAGCAATCATCCCAAAAGAGCCTTATTTTTCAGGTTAGTGAAATATTCTAATTTACCCAGATATCCTGTTTGTACATGCTTGGTATTCCTACTATTTCCTGCTGCTACACTGCGACTAGCGGTGGATTTCATGTGCCTGAGGGGTGACCGGCGCCGGTGCTGGTTGGGTCGGAAAGCACGTCGGAAAGCACCAAGCCCTAGAGCCATCCGCAATGATTATGCAATGATTATCTGGTTGGTAGTTTGGAAATATGTGTTATTTTCCATAATATATGGGATAATCCTTCCCAACTGACTTTCATATTTTTCAGAGGGGTAGGTAGACCACCAACTAGTTATGCAATGAATATGCAATGATTTCATATTTTGACCATTGAATCCTAGGAGTATCCTGTCATCTAAAAAACCACTCCAAACACAGCTCCGGATCTGCAGTGGCATAGTGGGGTAAATTGATCTAGAAACCACAGCTTTTAGCATCACTTTATAATTACCCTCTGGTAAACATACAAAAAACTATGGAAAGATCCACCATTTTTCATGGGAAAATTCACTATGAATGGTGATTTTCTATAGCTATGTTAAATTACCAGAGGGTATACTTTATGTTGGCTTGTCTGAAAATAAAGTAGCTTAAAAGCAAGTGGTGTATCATCAGTCGTTCCATTCAAATAGTGATTTGTTGGTATACACCATTTTGAGACAAATCCATGTAGGTTGGGTGTCCTGTAGAAATTTCCCACTCGGGAGACCCTGGTCGGGTCAATTGTTAAGTTTGAGCGATAAAAGAAGATTTCTCAGATATGAATTATGATTAGTGTGCTAAAGTGTAAATGAAATTCTAAACCATCCCTGGTTGGTGGTTTGGAATATGGCTTTTATTTTTCCATATATTGGAATTTCATCATCCCAACTGACTTTCATATTTTTCAGAGGGGTAGGTCAGCCACCAACCAGATAGATTAAACTATGTTAAGAACCCCAGTTCCGAAGCCCACGAAGCTCTAAACCTCCATTTAGATTAGATTGTCTCATATGGGGATTTCCATAAATGGGGATACCCAAAATGGATGGTTTAAAAGGGAATTCCATCTATAAATGGATGATTTGGGGTACCCCTATTTTAGGAAACCCCCATATGTTCTGTTTCATATGTTCCCATTCAAACCATCCATTTGAATACGACATAAACAAATTGACATCATCGACATGCCATGTTTTTAGATGGAGCACCATCTCAGAAACGGCGACGGCAGGAAATACTACAAGGTGCGCATCCCTGCTGAGGCCCGGCCCCGGGGGTTGGAGATGGTGCCTGGAGATTTTTGGGAAGGGGATGTTTGCAGAAAGCCATAGAATTCTCTTTTGAAATCTTTTGGTTTTTTTTGATGATTTTTTCTGATGTTCCAGAATTATTTATTCATGATCAATGATATCAATGGGATGATTTTTAAATGATGATCCAAGAATTCATGAAATATGTTAACTCTGGACAATCCACCAACCATATGATTAACTCTGGATGAATGACCTCACTGTGACTCTGAGGTCGCTGGAATGATGGGAATATGATGGGAATTGGGGCGGAATCATCCCCAAAATGGTCTCAGTGAACAGCTATTTTCAGGCTGGAGAATTTAAGTGTAATTCAGCCAGAATTTGTTGTGTGAAGTGTGCAGTGATCAAAACCCCGCAGCATTGGTTGATGATTTCTTTGAGGGGTTTTACTAGCCAAGATGTTGGGAATGATTATCATCTATGAACTGGGAATCCTTGCTCATGACGCAACGGGTGCTGAACACGATCACAGCTTCGCCATGTTTGGTGGCACCCAGAAGGAAAAGAGATACCTGGTTACCCTCTGGTAAACATACAAAAAAACTATGGAAAATCACCATGTTCAATGGGTAAATCCACTATTTCTATGGCCATTTTCAATAGCTATGGTAGTCATTACCAGAGGGTATTCAACATAGCCAAGGAAACTTACCTATATAGCCTATACCTAATACCGATACCTCTTCTTTAAAAAAATGTTTGCCATTGTTAGCCACTATCAACCACTATTACCAACAATTAAACATTATAATTGGTTAATGATTATAGGGTTACTACCAATATTACATAACCCACTATCAACCAATAAATTACCAATATTACATTATACAACCATGGTATCCTCCAGTAATCAAAGTGCTGGGGTGCTGGAAAATTCCCACAGATTCGACCTTCCCAGCGAACGAACAAACCATGATTTTTCATAATGGATGTTCCATTGCCTTATCAATTAACCATTTATAACCATGGTAAGTATCCCATTATCCTTGATATCACCATGGTTTTCTTTACTGGTTAATCTGGTCAATCTGGTTAATGAATATCCTTCGAATTGTAACTAACCAGTAGTTAATTAATAGTGGTACCCAGGCCACAAGGATATCCTCAGAGCCTCAAATCATCACCGTTTCAATGGATGCGATTCCAACCCCCAAATGATAGGTTTATGGCATTGGGTTTCCGACATGATCTTCATTTCCATTCCCATAGGATCCATGTATGGTATATATGCTAACATTTGGGGTATATTGATGGTAAATGTTACCATATATAGCATACATGGATCCTATGGGATTGTCTTCACCATTGTTCGCCACTATTGACCATTATTAACCATTGACCATTCTTAATTAGCCACCATTAACCATGATTAACCACTATTAACCATTTACAACCATTTATATCCATGGTAAATATCCCATTATACAGAATCTCTGGGATGCTGACTGTCCATTTCAGTCAACAATCATGAACAATTATTGCCCATATATCTATATATATACATACATTTACAATCATTTACATATGTATTTATACATATACATATACATATACATATACATGTAGAATATACATATACATATATATATATGTATAGTCATTTTTCACCATGGCAGCCATATCCCCACCCTGAACTCCACCGCAACTCCCCGGTCTACCGCAACAGCGTTGAGGCCCCGAAGCCCATCTACGAGAAGGTGCCCATCCCTACTGATCCGTTGCCGCCGAAGAAGGTCATGGTGCCCGTGAAGGTGCCTGGCAAGCGGCCGCCGCCCATTGTGCATTACAAGCACCGGCCTGAGCCAGCCGAAAGATCGGAAGATCATGGGAAAAACCATGGGAAGAAGCATGAAAACCATGGGAAAACCGATGGTGTTCTGGAAAAAAACATGAAAACCATTGGAAAAACAATGAAACACGTATGAAAAAGCTATGGAACAAGGGAAAGATGGTGATTTCGAAAGGGTTTGAGGAATTCTGTTGTGGTCATGGGGATAAGGCTTGAATAGAGAGATTTTTTGGGGAATTCACCCAAAAAAATGTTGTCGGATTACAAGAAACGGTAGTTTAGCCACAAAATCTTGGATGTTTACCATGATAAAAATTGGGGTGTTGGCGAAGTTTGAAGCATCAAGCAGATGGGGGTGTCATTGAGAAATTAAAGGTTGATGATTGCCATTTTGGTGGGAATATCATGGTTTATGTGTTTATTGGTGTGAGTGGGATTCCAAAGTGGCGCTTTTTCGAAGGCTCATTTTCACCCACAGAGGCTGGACATGGTTTTCAGTCATAGCGTTGCATCGGGGGATGAGAACTGGTCCAGAAAGGTAGGGCCTTAAACGCTTTGGATCAACTGTAGTGGAGCTAAAGTAGGGTTTCAATCAACTGTAAAACCAAAAAAAATGATTCAAATTCATCAGCACAAAGGCTACAGACCATCAACTGAGAGATGAACTTCCAGCTGCCGGTTCTCCACATGGAGAAAAAACATGTACAATATATCAGTACCCATGTATTTCCCATGTATTTCCCAATGAAACTCCCCTAAAATATCCTAAAATGCTTGGTTTAATCCCAGAGGCACGATTTTTTCCAAGGTATTTGCCCATCGAAAAGCACTACGATGTCCCCCACACCGTCTACGACAAGAAGAAGGCGCTTATGCGTGTAGTACGTGGTCCATTTGGGGAAGAAAAACAGCAAAAAATGGTAAGAGAACCATAGAAAACCGACTATTTCTTGAGGGTACTATGATTATTTGGGGGTATGGTATGGTCTGGTGGGATATAGAACCAACAATATGACAGGGATTTTCGGTCATGGCAACAACGAGTTTTCTCAACAACCAAAATTTAGTGGTGCTCCAATTACAGACAAACATCCATGTTGCATGCGGGGGGGTATTTTTACACGTAAATAAATTCATTGAACACAATATACTCAATGAAACAAATCGGGTTGGTGGTTTGGAACATTTTTTACTTTTCCATATGTTCGGAATGTCATCATCCCAACTGACGAACTCCATCATTTTTCAGAGGGGTAGGTCAACCACCAATCAGAAATATATGCAAAGATTTGGATAAGATATCTTCAGATGAATCATCTACATGTATATAGATAAATCATGATAAATCCATTTGATTGGGAGGTCACGATTGGAAGAATTTTCATTTCACAATGGATGAGGCGAGTTTATTTGATGATCCCACCATACACCAGTTGTGGTGATTTTAGCGGAGAAACACACGTTTCTCAACACGATAGATCATGATAGGTTTCAGAGTTTCATATGTGTAATGGTAATTAATTGTAATTAATTAATATTAATATATAAAAATTGTATAATTCAATGATATAATCAAAAATTCCAAAGTAGATAAAAAATGGACGGTCACCAGACAAAAACCCAGGGAGATTTCCAGCGCGCCAACTGACAAACGTATGGCTTTGTCTGAAAACCTATATACATGATATCTGGGTAAATTATAACGACCTCACTACGACCTCACTGGAAATCATGGTTAGTAAGGGGAATCATCCCCTTTTATGGCCTTAATTCAGATTAGTGAATTATTGTTATTTGCCCAGATATACATGTATAAATATCTATAATTTATTTCAGTGTCATATCATTTTTTGACGTTCCAATGGATCATTTGGGATCCCAAATGGGAAAAAATTGGACATTCCCTTCCGGACATTCCAACATTCACATTCCGACGCCAGGTGGAGGTTCCGGTCATCGTGAAGCGCTACGTCAAGGAAGAAGTGCCCGAAACGCCTGAGGTGCCATGCAGATAAAATCCCCAAAAAAAAACATGGGAAAATCCACTTTTTTTAAAACCAAAAACGAGAAATCCATAGAAATCCATGGTGAAAATGATGGTTATTGATGATTGTTAATATTAATGATACAGGTGTATTCATGCTTGATGATGATGATGATGATGATGATGTGATGTCCATGTTCTAATCCACTTCCATAGATTTCGAATGATTCAGCTTAAGCTATATTAAAGCCGTTATGTCTCAATTTCAGACAGAATTTCCCGATATGGGATGGATGACCATAAAGCATATACGATGTGTTGACATGTTTTGACCGGTAGAACATATGGTTTTTTTTCGGGGATACCCAATTGTTTATTATTTTGTTTGTTTTTTTTCGGTTAAATAGTGGAGAACGTGATGATAAACTATTGACTGGAATGGGGCTGGGATAAAGCGCTGGTTCATCCAATGATTTTGACATGTTTTGAACCTGCACCAGCAGTGATTCAACCAAGAAAATTCGGGATTCTGTTGGTTTCCAGCTTCTATGGTTCCATTTTTTTTCAGCAAACAGCAAAGAATCTTCCTGAATGCCAAATGGAACTTGAAACAAAGTGGTGCCTCTTAGTTGGCGAAGTAAAAAAACCGGCGGACCAGTGTGGTTTTTCCGGCGTTTACGGTAGTGCAATGGTTTGATTTCCAGATGATAGTCGCCTGATGCTTGTCCAGGTGGTGACCAAAACCGAGCACGTCTACGTGCACGAAAAGGGCTATGCACCTGGACCTAAGAACCATCAAAAGCTGGGCGAAAATGCGGAACTGAAAATGGGGGTACCCAATAGCTGGATGGTTTACAGTGGAAAATCCCATTAAAATGGATGATTTGGGGGTACCACCATTTATGGAAACCTCCATAAAATGGTGGGAATTAATATGGTTCTCTTTGTTGATGTCAGGTTGAGTTTGTTTGTGTTCACAAGGTTGCGCCAACTTTGTGCATTTGAAATCTCAGCATTGAGGCATCCTCCAGGGTTGCCTACGCCTATGCTTGCCAGTTCAGGGATTGGGCCCTTCTTCTCCGAGAGTTGTGTATTCTTGAAAGTTGTTCCATGGTCATGTTCGGTCATTTCTTTGTATGTTGAAGCTTTGAATAGACTGATTGAATATGATTAAATAATTAAATATGATTAAATATATGATTAAATATATGATTAAATGATCATGTAGAGCTTCCACCCAGACCCAACACACCCAGTGGTTTCATCTCTACATGGGATCAATGGGATCCCAGGGCTGCTGGGTGTTAGCCATGCCCCAGGATTGCGTAGAAGGCTTCCACAACTACCAGGACTGACGTGTGGCCATGATGGCCTGAATGGGTCAAAACGAAAAAAACCACCAAAGATGGATGATTTTTGATGAGTGCTAAGTTTATGACATTCTTTTAAGGGTCCATAGGTGCCTGAATTTTCACAGAATTCTGCGTTCAGCAAATCCATGATTTTTCACCTGAATACCTGAACGTTGTAAAATTGCCATAGAGAACCACAGACAAACTGACTATTTGATCTGGAACCCCATGGAACCCCATGGAACTCCATGGAACCCAACTTCCCATGGGAACCCGTTGGATGAAAAAATCCTCCGTGTTTCCCATTGCGAACGACGTGTGCTGAAAGGAGCTGTGGACCGAGGACCAGAAGAGGCGCAAAAAGGGATGGAGAAACCATGGAGTGTCTGCAGGTTGCAGCTGGCAGGCGAATCATTGGTTTCTGCTGAAGCCAAATGGGAAGAGTTTCCTTGCAGCCTTTGTGGCTCCAAATTGACTTTGTCGGGTACCATATTTTAGACCCATATATAATAGCAATATATACATATATATATATATTTATATTGGAATGGTTGATTCCAGTTTAGGATATTTGAAAGATAAAACATGAAATATCTAGTTGTGATTGGCTATGAGGGTTTATGTAATATATATATATATAGAGAAAGAGATAGAGAAAGAGAGAAAGAGCCAATAGGACTGGATATATCATATTGATGGTATATCAGGTATATCATGTATCATATATATATATTTACCATTGGTTTGCAATATACATACAGCAGAGTGAGATAGACATTGATTGGTGACCAATGTTTTGTACTTCGGGGTTGCTGTTCTCCAACAATAGGATGATAGCTGGACTTAGAAAATGCTTCCCCGGTGACCCTCTGGATCCCTCTGGTAAACATGGCAGCCATAGAAAATGCCATGGAAATGATAGGCAAATCATCTAAAACTCTGGCATTTCCATGGTGACCAAAGGATAATTTAGCTAGGATAGAGAAGATCACCACGACCTAATGTTCCCAAAGGCCCCCCGGCCGCTGAGCGTCACAAAATGGAAGGAAAGAGCTGGGATTGCAATCCGATCTATAGACTTTTCTGGAAAAAAGATTCATCAATTACTGTACTTGATCCATAAATTGATCATCACTGGCAAACGAACGCATGTTTTGCAGTAACAATGACTGCTCGGAAACATGGTTCCCTAAGGAGCTCCAGGGTAATTAATGTATTGGCTAAGAAATATTGCATATATCCCCAGTAGATCTCCATAAACAATACCATAATACCTATAGAATATCTTTGGTTGTCCCCTTTTTTTTTGCTTGGTATCCCTCTCGTATCCCCGTCTGGACTGGTGTAGCAACCGGGTGGTAGAATTCATCCTGAACATTCATGCAGGTTCTGCTGCTGGAAGCATGACCGGGGTTGCCCCTCCACCCACTACAAGACCAAGACAGAGGTCCGTAGCTTGGAAAGGACCTGGAATCTCTGATTTACGGTGAAATTGCCTATATCTTTGGATGCAATACCTTGTTTATGGGATATGTTTGGGAGTTTGTTTTTCATCAACTTTATATAAGACGTGGGTCTGTCTGAAAATTCCGTATACAGTATCCATAATCTATAGCAATTTCACTGGGAACAAAAGAGGGTTCACCATAGGTTTTTGGGTATCTGCAGTATCCTATTTTCCGACAAACCCATGTGTGTGTGTGTGCACTGCAAACCCGCAAGAGCTCCTTTTCTGGATCTCTTTGAAACAGTCTTCAAATTTCTTTCTATATCTACAATCTCTACAATATCTACAATATCTAGATAATATAGGCATATATAATAGTTATTTATTCATAGCTGTATGATTTGCTTTGCTGGTATTCCTCTTCCCGTATCCAATGGGCCTTTTGCACCGACCAGCCACGTACATATGCTGGTAACTATGTCTATGTATGTGTATATATGTATATATATATATGTATATATGTGTGTGTGTTAAAAGTATTATCTTGATCTTGCCACTATGATCGTTATATCATTACAATATCATTGTCATTTCCAGCAACATTTTCATGCTGGAGGTTTTCTTGTTACATGCTGGAGATATGGCGTGGGAAATGCCTGGCATTTCACCCATTCGCAGGTGAAGACGCGGGTGAAGTATGTGGATGTGCCAGTGCCCTCCCCGCCGAAGATCATCGAACGGGATCATGAGGAGTTCATGGTTTTTTCCTGGTGAAAGGGATGTCGATTGATCGATTGATCCCTGGGATTTCAGGGTTCAACGGTTCCTTTTTTTCATATATGAGATTGAGATGGTGACAATATATGGGAGTTATTCATACACCCAAAAGAAGGCTGTTAGATGGGTAAACAAACCAAAACAGATATGTAATGTTATCATGGAGGTTATATATATATAATTATATATAATTATTTGTATATGTGGGGACGGATCAAAACCCATTATTGCCATATTTGGTGGAATAAACATCCAGCTATACCAGTTTTTTCAAGAGTACCTGGGGCCCACGGGTAGCAGGGTTTTGACCCATAGTCACCAAGTTTTTCCGTAGCCAGGGGCCCGTTCGACAGGAGCACATGACCAGTTTCAACTGCAACGAGGGTTTCAGCACCTTTGGTATTGCGGAACTGGGATGCGGCCTTCTGGGAGAGATACAAGAGATGTTTTTTAAATGACATGATATCATGACATGATATGTAGCCTCTGGTAGTTTGACACGGCGGACTGGAGAATGGCCCATGTTTTTTTGGATATACCTAATCAAAAGTGTGATTTCCATAGCTGTATTGAATTACGAGAGGGTAGCCACGAAAAAAAGATTGCGATTTGAAACGTTTCAACCAGGGATAACCAACAGCTTAACTTGGGATTTGAAGAAATGTGCTGTTATGTGTTTAACATCGACCACCTAGACTTGGGATTTAACAAAGGGTTAGGCCATGTTAGGCCTAAAACGAAGCATTTTATTGCGAGATCATTCGGGACTGCATGAGATACTATATGTTTATCAGCAAGAAGGGGCTTGATTTTAAGATGGAGCGGTAAAATATGTCGATTGATGAAGGAAAACCATGAGAACTTTGCCAGCGAAAAATGTGACCAATCAATCTTCGCCAACTTGACATGTTACCTATGGTAAATCAACATAGACCCTAAAAATAACCCATTTTTTCGTGGAAACTCACGTTTTAAAGCCCTGTTTGGCAGGGTCTATATGTTAAATATTGTTAAATTCCTGAAGGGTAGCCGAAGATGACTGAGGCAATTGGTACCATGGTTGGTCACCTTTGAAGAAGAAGTATTGCTGCGCACACGAGCCACTGGGTTTTTTCTGGGCCATTGCGGAAGGGGATACTGATGCAGATAGTTTAGTATTCTAAGAGTGGCCTGTAATATTCTACCATGTTCAGTTGTTTTCTATATATGAACATATCTACCTATCAGCAAAAGAAATGATTGTTTGTATTGTTTGTAGGGTATCTAAAACCGGCTATGATTTGAACGATTGATTTCCTGCAGTGAAAGTTGACGCGTCCTTTTTGGGTGGGAAGATGCACCCATTCGAGACCCATAGCTCAAATATTTTAGACACATTGGGTTCAAAACGGTACTCCAAGATCGATCTGCACATAAAAAAGTGGTGCCTGTTTTATGTGTACATCTTTTTACCCAACAGTTTGGCTATTTGAAAGCCAATTTGGCCAATGATTTTGCGAAACTCCTCATGGGTGGGAAATCATGTGCAACAGTTGGTAGAATTCCTAAGTCGTCATGTCATGTAAAAACCATATCTGGTGGTTATCCAACGAAGCTAACTACAAGGTGGTGCTCTCCCCCTCGATATGTACGACAAATTTTGTCCCAATCCAAGCCTGCGAAGTTACCTATGGGCCCGGACATAGCTGATCATCCCTTTTTTTGTGTCCATTTATAAAAACTGATGGTTAATGATGGTTAATGATGGTTAATGATGGTCAATGATGGTTAATGATGGTCAATGATGGTTAATGATGGTTAATGATGTTGGTTAATGGTGATTAATGACTGGTTGGTGGTTTGGAACATGAATTTTATGACTTTCCCATCATATTGGGAATGTCATCATCCCAACTGACGAACTCATATTTTTCAGAGGGGTTGGTGGCTCAACCACCAACCAGATGATTATAGTCACTATTACCATTAATTAATCATTTACCATGAATAGTACTGGTCGCTATATACCACCAACCAGCAAGTCGGTTAGTGACCAACCAGTATATATACATATACATATATACCATCATGGGGATATACCCTCTGGTTATTTAACATAGCCATGGAAAATCCCTTATAAATGGCGGTTTGTAGCTGGGAAAATTCACTATTTCGATTGGGGCCATCGGAAAACCATGGCTATGTTAGTCACAACCAGAGGGTAAATCCCATTATATCCCCTATAAATCCCCATAAATCCCATTAAATCACCATGAAATCACCATTTTTAATGGGAAAACTCACTATTTCTATGGTCATTTTCAATAGCTATGTTAGTCATAACCAGAGGGTAAGCTGATATGATGGGATCAAGGGATACCATCAGCTTAGTGCCTTCTCCCCATCCGATCCGAGGGATCGAGGATGTCCTGGCTCGAAGCATGGGCATTGGGCAGCCTGGTTGCGGTGACCTAACGGTTGACATAACAAAAAGGGGCTTGCTGGTGCTGGTGCTGAAATACCCTCTGGTAAACTAACATAGCTATTGAAAATGGCCATAGAAATAGTGGATTTTCCCATTAAAAATGGTGATTTTCCATAGTTTTTTGTATGTTTACCAGAGGGTATCCCAGAAACATGTGATGAAATTGAGATAGCTAATGATGGAATATTCATGAATATCCACTAGCTACATCTAACTACTAATTGAAGATTCCAAAATGGACATGTGCTGAATATCCATTAATATCCATTAATATCCATTAATATCCATTAATATCCACTAATATCCATTAATATCCATTAATATCCATATCCCACATCTGAAAGGATGATAACATGCGATAACTCTGCTTAGTAAATTTAGTCGCCGGTCTAAGCTGGATATGTCTCGAAGTTTCAATGGTTTTTCCCATCAATTGGTGTCGAGGATGGTTACGGCTACCAGGGTAAGCTGGATGAATGCAGATGGATACGGCCTTGATGTGTTCGGCCATTTTGATGCTTTGCAATACGATGCAATCTGTGTGTTCTTGCCAAATAAAATGGTGCAGGGTTTCCAAGATTGCTCAACATCGCAACGATGCAATGGATTCAATTGGTGGTGACAGATGTTATAGCCATGCTGGGAATACCATTCAATACCCACGAAATGAAGCGCAAAGGCCAGTCAGAATTGTGAAACAGGAGTGCCAAAAAAAGATACCATAATCACGAAAGGTAGCGTCAGCTACCTGAGTTCTCCGTGCTTCAGCACAAGCTTAGGGGGTATTGGGGGGCCAGCCCACGGAATTCATGGAATTCTCGCCGTTATGTATTGGATATCAATTATAAGGGGGGGGGCCCCCCCCCCCGAAAATGGTCATGGGTTCAATTCCCACGGGTGACGCGGTCACGGGCCCCCACATTAGAGGCACACTTTCCATGAGGGAGATGTCCCTGTAGTCCAGCATAATTGGTATGCTTCAGCCTCAATAACAGTTGCTGCAAGGGGTCTTAAAAAGGGGTTTTAAATAAACCCCTTTTCGTGCATCATTTCACGCTGCACAAGACACCGTATCATGCAGTCATGCTCTGGATAAAATCATCTTAGACTGCGCAAAAACGTTTTTGGTGTATCATCTTAGGGGCGCAGCATTTTGACACCACTCCTCTCCCACTACACTACCTTTCGTCCGCCTCCGCCTGCTCTCAAGTTGTGCAAACAAAGCCGAAAATTGCAAAACAAGTTTAATGGAAATATATATATATACAATTATATATATATGTATAGATGTAAGTGCCTTAAAAGAAAATACACATTTTTCGATTTTTTCGATATGGGTCGAGGTGAAGAGAAACGACAAGCCGGCACCAACGCATTTCATCAATGGCACATGTTTTTGTGGGTAAAATCCCTTTGAATCCCATTGTACAATAATATTATATGCATATAACATTATATATATATACATATATGCAGATACCTTTCGAAATGGAAATAACTTTATATCCTATTATACGATTGTAGTTTACAATTAAATCCATATATAGCATCCCTTAAATAACTAGAAAAGTCAAAACATACTAATATAATGGCAATCTGGGCCTTTTCTATCTTTTTGGGGGTTACTATATATCGCTTCATATATGGGAAGAACTTTACATCCTTTTATATCCCATCGTAAATATGCGTGTGTGGAGTTGGGTATACATATGTTTATATATATATATATACATATCTGCTTGGTGGTTTCAAACATGGCTGGATTATTTTCCATTTCATATATGGGATGTCATCCTTCCCATTGAATTTCACTCCATGATTTTTCAGAGGGGTAGGTATACCACCACCCATTTCACCATCACCCGTCGAAATTTGGAAGGGGTGTGTCCGTGTCATTGAGGAGATGCATGGGCATGCCTCTGTCCATGTGGAAGGAGGTGGCAAGGCCAAGGGCAAGATCTATGACTCTTTGCTGCTGAATGGGTCAGGTGCATTTTGGAGTTCGCTGCGAATATTGTGTTGAATCTTTTGTTGATGGCAACTTTTGGGAGGTAAGTTCAATTGATTTCAATTGGGGCGCAGTCTGGGAGCAGATTATCACTATTTGGGGTGGCCATCCTAGTTAATCAACCAGGGTTTGGTCTGATGCGCCGTTGACATCTCCTATTCCTACGTTCTTTACGGAGGTATTGAAACTAGCTGTGTTTTTTTGGAAAAGCGAAGATCATGGGTTCACATCATCAATCAACAATAGATGCATCATTATCATAATTATCATCAATCAATCAATGGAGATTATCATCACAATAGATGCATCATTATCATCAACATGATCATAATTATCATCAATCAATCAATCCCAAACTTTGGAGATACTGATCGTTTCCTGATGGGATGGGATGTTGACTGGACTCAGTGACTGAAGCCACAAATGTTTGTCCAGCCAGCGCCCAAATGTCGTGCGGGTCAGACGTGGCACTAGCGAAGGGATAGCAGGATCGAGAAGGATAGCCTGCGTCAAACACGGCGGTGGCTTCGCTGTTTTAGGTCGGTGGCTTTCCCCAGCTGCCACTGAAGCAAAAAAAAAACAGATCCCATTGATGGGATGACTACACTGAATAAACCATGTATCATATTGTTGGTTATCTTCCCATTACCCCCTGGTAAACGTTTACAAAAAACGAACTGGAAAGATCCACCATTTTATAGCTGGGTAGATCAACTATTTCTATAGCCATCATACAAAAAACGAACTGGAAAGATCCACCATTTTATAGCTGGGTAGATCAATTATTTCTATAGCCATCATACAAAAAACGAACTGGAAAGATCCACCATTTTATAGCTGGGTAGATCAACTATTTCTATAGCCATCATACAAAAAACGAACTGGAAAGATCCACCATTTTATAGCTGGGTAGATCAATTATTTCTATAGCCATCATACAAAAAACGAACTGGAAAGATCCACCATTTTATAGCTGGGTAGATCAATTATTTCTATAGCCATCATACAAAAAACGAACTGGAAAGATCCACCGTTTTATAGCTGGGTAGATCAACTATTTCTATAGCCATCATACAAAAAACGAACTGGAAAGATCCACCATTTTATAGCTGGGTAGATCAACTATTTCTATAGCCATCATACAAAAAACTATGGAAAGATCCACCATTTATAGCTGGGTAAATCAACTATTTCTATAGCCATTTTCAATAGCAAACTGTTAGTTTACCAGAGGGTATATTCCATGATATCCCATCATGATGTTCATGGCGGGATGACCATCCATTCCTTGAAATTCAGATGAAATTCAGATGATTTCTGATCAACAGGCGTATGTCCCCATCATATCTCCATTAAGTATGCCATGATATATATATATATATCCCCATGATATTCCCACAATGTGAGGCCCAAGATAGCTAAGTTGGGGTTCACATAACTCCAATTTCACGAACTGGTTTATGGTACGCATAACTTACGAACTAGTTACTGGGGCTTTTGTTAAGCAACGTGGGCACATCTGAGGATTGCGGCGCTGGATTCTCCGACTGGCTCCAAGGCGCTGCCGAAAAGTGATGGATGTGATGGCATGACCAGGAAGAATTATCCCAAAGAGTCAGCAAAAACCATGGGATATCGCGTGACATCACAAAAAAGAACCCACATATTGGGATAAGCCACAGCATTTGTTTTCAACATGAGCATAGTTCTTAATCCTTTAAAAGGAGCTGATTTCCGTAAACAAAAACCCGAATAGGAAAGCATCTCTGGACCATGGCCAGGTTGGTCGGATTCCAAGAAGACTTGGTGCTGCGATCATGAGAGCAGAGGCTGCGTGAAGCATCACTGCTTCACCGGAACCATCTCCGACTGGAACAAGGCGCTGGCGTTTTTTCAGGGGGTTGGAAAAAAGCGTAGGCAATTTGTTGGGATATAATAGGATATTAATATTGGATGAACACATCCTATTATATTAAATATTTAAATATCCTATTCATATGAAATATCCTATTATATCCACAATAATGTTCATCCCAATATCATATCAATGGTATGTATAATACGGATTCATATTGGATGAACTTAAGACGTTTTTTGTAGTCGATGGCTCGCGTTTTTCGCGGAGGGTAAAAAGGGTAAAAATGCACGCAGAATGTGGAGGATATATCTTCATGGTAGGTATCATATGGATATATTTTTTGGATAAATGTTGGATCACCGTGGATACTTCATAATGAACCATACCCTCTGGTAAATAAACATTCACAGTTTGCTAACTTGAAGCCATGGCCCAGTCGATTTGTTGTTGATTTACCCATTGAAAGCATGGTGGATCTTTCCAGTTCGTTATGTGGCAGTTTACCAGGCCGGGTACAAAAAAGAAAATGGTGACTTCCTGGGATTGAATGAATTGAATGGGATGATTTGCCAAGAGCGAAGAATTCATGAGGCCTGATGATTTGATGGGCCCGAAATATTTGGCAAACCACCCATGTGGCTTGCTCATGTGATTCATGAGACCTCACTCGAAATCATGGTTAGTAAGGGAAATCATCCCCTTTTATGGCCTTAATTCAGATTAGTGAAATATGATTCCATTTACCCAGATTCATGAAAACCGATATGTTTGGTGATCTGGGGAGGTTTCTCACATCAGATAATTTTAGATATGTTTGGGATATTTTGGGATATTTTGCATTCTTGGGATACTTCAACTTTGACTCATAGCCATATCGTCAAGGCGACCATGTGGTAAACCAAGACCCATAAACAATACCCTGCTAAGACAAAAATAAGCCAGTTCTGTGGATTTTAACAGTACTCGAAAAAGGGGGTTTATGGGCTGGGTTTAACACTAGTGTGGCTACAAGGATACACCAAACATCAGATCGATCGAACATTGCAGTCACAAAATGTTGTGCTTTAATGTGTAAAATCCTTCATGCGAACGAGTGTTCCTTTTTTTTGAAAGAAAAGAAGTAAGGGTGCGAACGAATTACCCTCTGGTAATTTGTTACATAGCTATTGAAAATGGCCATAGAAATAGTGGATTTACCCATAAAAAAATGTGATTTTCCATAGTTTTTTGTATGTTTACCAGAGGGTATGTTTTTTCCGATTCTTCCCACAAGTCCTTTGGCCTTCGCAACAGAAACCGATTGATTGGAGGTCCTTGGATGTAAAATCCACTTAGTAGATGCTTAAGAAATCTCGGTAACCACAGCAATGCACCGGTTTAAAGAGATATATACGTGTATATATATATAGCGTATACAGGGCGAACCCCAACTCAAACTATATATACATATATATATATACATATACTATATACATATATATATATATGTCGTGATTCAAAAAATGAAAGAAATACGGGTTTTGATCGCCGCACGTCGGCCCAGGACAAAAGGGACTGGTGCTGTAGAACCCATCAGCGAGGCAGGAGCGATCCAGGGTAGTTTGTGTGGATGTAATATGTATATATATATATATATTGTTTCTAGGTGTATGTGTGTATACATATATATATATGTGTGTGAATGAATAATGGTTCTATGTGTATACATACATATTAGTAGTGGCTACATATGTAATAGTGTTTATATAGAAAATGATGATTATCAATGGTCAAGTTAGAAGATTTTAATACATTAAGGCCACCATATATATACATATATATATATATATTAATAAATATCAATTTTAATAAATGCACAGTGTACATTATAGATATCTAGTATAAAATATGTTTTTTGTGTATTTAAATATATATATATATCAACATCGGGGTTCCCAAAATAGTGATATGTCCGTTTATGTAGAGAGAGAGAGAGACAGAAGGGTTTACATATGTATCAGTATATGTATAGACACTGCATCTAGTAATATAGTGCATATATAGTGTACAATTAAATGTAGAGTGTGTATATATATATATGTAGACATGGACAAGGGATTGCATGCGTATATTATTTATATAGATAAAGAGAGAGAGAGAGTGTGTGTGTGTGTTATGTATATATGTACACATGCTGGATTATCCATTGGCATGTGAATTGCCAGAGGCTGCAAATCTACCTTAAACCCAACTCTCTGCCAATTTAGCCATGGATTTTCCTATGAAAAAAGAATTGGTTAGGAAAATGGGAGCCCCTCCCATCTTACTCCCATTTTGTTCGACTATACTTACTATAATCACTATTCCCCCATAAATTCCCATGGATATCCATGGATTGGGTTGATGATTCATCATCTCAATGGGAATTCCAGGATCCAATTGATGGAGGTACTGTACCATATTTCTGGCCATATTTTTGGGGGGATATCCCCTTACATAGCCCTTATATAGCCCTTATATATGGTAGGTACCTCCATTTTAGGATCCTGAAATTCCCATTGATCATCACATCGATCCAGGTTGTGCTCACACCACCTTGTCCCCCTTGGGTTGCGATGCCGTTTGTGAACTTCATGGAGCAACTCGATCAGCTGCCATGAAGAAAGGGCGAAATCGGCTGTGGCGAAGTTTTCTGTACAACATGCATGGAATATGTGTAATTTGTGGATGGGTTTTGCTGCGAATGTCATCAATGAATATAGGTGAGAGTTTTCAATTGCCATAGAATCAAACTATATATTTACCCTCTGGTAAACATACAAAAAACTATGGAAAATCACAATTTTTAATGGGTAAATCAACTATAAATGGACCATGTTCAATAGCTATGTTAAATTACCAGAGGGTATGTGTAATTATAGGATGAGTCAAAAACTATTTATCCACCATATTTGGTGGAATAAACATCCAGAAAGCAGCTATTGAAGAGTAGGGTGCCAGGCTTTTGACTCATAGCCATATTGTCGTAACCTTCAAAAAGATAGAAAGGTAACACCAACTCTGAGTCACTTCAACAAAGAAATACACATGGTTTTTGTGGTGGTAACATGGTGGTACTTTTGAGCTTGCAACAACATTATGTGATTTTGTCGATGGAGGAAGCATCCATCTAAAAGAAACATGTGGTACCCTAAGTGTAGCTGTTGATGTCCCAATGAATTCTGAAAACAATTGGTAAAAATAAGGTACAAAACACATAGCCTTATTCTTACCTATCAAAATTGTCACTGAATCGGGCATGCAGAAAAACACCTATCATATTGTTGATTATATATGATTACATCGCATTATAATTCATTATGTTTAGATATGTTTATATAGACATGTTTAGTGTATATCTCCATTTGAGTGGTTAGATCAGTTAGATCCATCTGGAAGGACAAACCGTGAAGAAATCCCAAGTTGTGTTAGTTGTTATATAGTTACTCTCTGGTAAACAAACATAGCTATTCAAAATGGCCATTTATAGTTGATTTACCCATTAAAAATTGTGATTTTCCATAGTTATGTTAGTTTACCAGAGGGTAAATAGCCATGTTTAGTGTAGTCCTCCATATGTCTATCTACTAAACCTTCCATGTTTGATGAAATCCGCCCTTTTCGAAGGACGAAGCCAACCTCCCCCAACATATTGCGGATAAAAGTTCAACACCCGTTTAGACAACAAAAATCCCCATTCTTTCCTCACTTCTGGCTGTATACCTCATTATCCCCATCATTATACCCATCATTACCCTCTGGTAAACCTCCAAAAAACTATGGAAAATCACCTCTTCAATAGGTAAATCAACTACAAGTGGACCATGGCTTCAATAGCTATTTTGACATAACCAGAGGATATCTTATGATATCCCCATGATATCCCCATCAGCCGCCCCCTTTTGGTGAAAAACCCAAGGAGTCTTCCACCTGCCACGATCGCATCCACTGGGTCCGGGACAACGTCTTTGGAAGCCGCGAGAACAATTGCGCATTGGCCTACAGCAAGGCCAAAAAATGGTGAGTTCCTGGTGATTTCATGATGATTTCAACGGTTTTTTCATGATTTAACCAAAGTAACATGTAGTAACCAAAGTAATATGGATAGTATATGGATAGTATTAATAATCCATAAAGGTCATGGAGATCATATTTTTCAGCAACTCCACCATAAAGAATATGGAAAAGTGTTTTTGCAGGACGGTAGGAACACCATTTTTGATGTTCCAGGTCTTAGGCATAGGCATCTTTTTGATGGGACGGATATGCTGTGATGTGGGGCCCCCATTCGATTGCTGTTTGTTGGTTAACAAAAGCCCCAGTAACTAGTTCGTAAGTTATGCGGACCATAAACCATCAACATCCATTAAACCACTAGATACTAAAAATATCCATTAAACATCCATGAATTACCATAGTTATTTGCGTACCATAAACCCAATTGTGACATTGGAGTTATGTGAACCCCAACTGAACGCGATTTCGTGTCCCATCTTCCAGAGTCGTTCTTTCACGATGAGCTGAGATTCATCGGCGTTCTGCAAAAGAGTGGAACACCCCAAAAAAAATCAGAATTTGTCCAGGTCCATCAGATGAAGTTTATGTGGGTTTATAGATGTTTATGGTGGTTATTGTGTTTATAAACCATCTACAAATAGATAAACCAATATAAACCATAACCATTGATGCTTACAATATCTGGTTGGTGGTGTCAAACATGGCTGGATTATTTTCCATTTCATATATGGGATGTCATCCTTCCAATTGACTTTCACTCCATGATTTTTCAAGATGGTGAAATTGCACCACCAACCAGATATATTATTCATTAGACAGGTATTAATCACTAATAACCACTATGAACCACTATTAATCACTATTAACCAGATATATGTTAATGATGCTTATTTGGTTCTTATTTGATCTATTTCTTGATGGCTGCAGCGGTGCAGACCGCGCAGGTGCAGGTGGATTGCGACGTTTGCCGAGCCTGCACCATTCAGGTCTGCAGGGGGCACTCAGGATGTGAGAGGATGCACCCTCTGGCAAACTAACAGTTCGCGAAGTGGAAAATCACAATCTAGCTAGTTGGTAAATCAACGAACTAAATGATGATATGGAAAATCACAATCTAGCTAGTTGGTAAATCAACGAACTAAATGATGATATGGAAAATCACAATCTAGCTAGTTGGTAAATCAACTAACAAAATGATGATATGGAAAATCACAATCTAGCTAGTTGGTAAATCAACGAACAAAATGATGATATGGAAAATCACAATCTAGCTAGTAGGTAAATCAACGAACTAAATGATGATATGGAAAATCACAATCTAGCTAGTTGGTAAATCAACTAACAAAATGATGATATGGAAAATCACAATCTAGCTAGTAGGTAAATCAACGAACTAAATGATGATATGGAAAATCACAATCTAGCTAGTTGGTAAATCAACGAACTAAATGATGATATGGAAAATCACAATCTAGCTAGTAGGTAAATCAACCAACTAAATGATGATATGGAAAATCACAATCTAGCTAGTTGGTAAATCAACTAACAAAATGATGATATGGAAAATCACAATCTAGCTAGTTGGTAAATCAACTAACAAAATGATGATATGGAAAATCACAATCTAGCTAGTAGGTAAATCAACGAACTAAATGATGATATGGAAAATCACAATCTAGCTAGTTGGTAAATCAACTAACAAAATGATGATATGGAAAATCACAATCTAGCTAGTAGGTAAATCAACCAACTAAATGATGATATGGAAAATCACAATCTAGCTAGTTGGTAAATCAACTAACAAAATGATGATATGGAAAATCACAATCTAGCTAGTTGGTAAATCAACTAACAAAATGATGATATGGAAAATCACAATCTAGCTAGTAGGTAAATCAACGAACTAAATGATGATATGGAAAATCACAATCTAGCTAGTTGGTAAATCAACTAACAAAATGATGATATGGAAAATCACAATCTAGCTAGTAGGTAAATCAACCAACTAAATGATGATATGGAAAATCACAATCTAGCTAGTTGGTAAATCAACGAACTAAATGATGATATGGAAAATCACAATCTAGCTAGTAGGTAAATCAACCAACTAAATGATGATATGGAAAATCACAATCTAGCTAGTTGGTAAATCAGCGAACTAAATGATGATATGGAAAATCACAATCTAGCTAGTTGGTAAATCAACTAACAAAATGATGATATGGAAAATCACAATCTAGCTAGTTGATAAATCAACGAACAAAATGATGATATGGAAAATCACAATCTTGGCTAGTAGGTAAATCAACGAACTAAATGATGATATGGAAAGAACTAAAATCATCATGATGATATGGAAAATCACAATCTAGCTAGTTGGTAAATCAACGAACTAAATGAAATCAAAATCTAGCTAGTTGGTAAATCAACGAACAAAATGATGATATGGAAAATCACAATCTTGGCTAGTAGGTAAATCAACGAACTAAATGATGATATGGAAAGAACTAAAATCATCATGATGATATGGAAAATCACAATCTAGCTAGTAGGTAAATCAACGAACTAAATGATGATATGGAAAATCACAATCTAGCTAGTAGGTAAATCAACGAACTAAATGATGATATGGAAAATCACAATCTAGCTAGTAGGTAAATCAAGGAACTAAATGATGATATGGAAAATCACAATCTAGCTAGTTGGTAAATCAGCGAACAAAATGATGATATGGAAAATCACAATCTAGCTAGTAGGTAAATCGACGAACTAAATGATGATATGGAAAGTCACAATCTAGCTAGTAGGTAAATCGACGAACTAAATGATGATATGGAAAGTCACAATCTAGCTAGTAGGTAAATCAACGAACTAAATGATGGTATGGAAAGTCACAATCTAGCTAGTAGGTAAATCAACGAACTAAATGATGATATGGAAAATCACAATCTAGCTAGTTGGTAAATCAGCGAACTAAATGATGATATGGAAAATCACAATCTAGCTAGTAGGTACATCAACTATTAAAGACTATAAATGTGCAAAATTTTCGCTCAATTTTGTTCTTTTTTGGGATGTCAAAAGTCAGAGAAAAACCATTTTGGTCTCGACAGATTCACCACATACAGTCAATCATCAACGACGTCGGTTCGCAAACCCAGAGCCATCTAGTTATTAGATCCTCTGTTCGAAAGCCAGAAAGTACTGAAAGATACTGTAATCATTTTCTGAAAGACACACTGGGGCATAGCACAAGCAAGTGGCCTATTTCCAGATGGGATCATGATCCCCACATCCTAAATGGCGCATCCCATTTAGAAGTGGATCTCTAACAGCATTTACCACTAGTCATTTGAAGCCACCAATAAAGCCTGGTTTTCAAACTGAATCTCCCTGAATTTTCTGTGGTATTTTTTTTTCTCCAATCGCTATGGAAAATCACCGTTGTTCAAAGGTTAATCGTCTATAATGACGTTCCATGTTCCAGAATTACCCTCTGTTTATTTGTTACATAGCCATGGAAAATGGCCCTAATCGAAATAGATGGTTTACCGTTCTTAAAAATGGGTGGATCTTTCCATGGCTATTAGGTAGCTTTGTTAGTTTTTGCCAGAGCTACCATAGCCATTCTAATTTTGTTTCTGGTTACATCAGTTACATCCCATGATATCTCGAGAGC